TGAGTGATTTATGGGAAATTTTGGTAATATGATTTTGGTGAACATGGCTGTGGTGTTGCTGTCATCGGTGACCTTGCAGTAGGGGGTGAAGCAGCATATATAACATATAAGCATATATAACATCTATACATATCTTATTCATATTGAATATTAATCTACGTGTCTGTTTATATTACTTATATTTCTTTTTTATATCTATATCTTTATATGTTATAGATTTGTATATTTTAATTTCTATATTATTTATTTAAAAGCCCTACCTCTAACCAAATAAACACCGAACAGCCCCTTTACCTGAAATGGTAATTAAACATTTTTTTAAAGTCTATTTTTATAAAATTTATATTTATGTACTATATTGATATATGTATAACACACAATATATATTTGTCCTGGTTTAGGGTAAATTTGGGAGAAAAGTTTTGAACGGGGTTTTTTAAGAAAGTAAATTTGAGTGGTTTTTTTGTTTTGTTTAATTGGTTTGGGAAAATATTTTTTGGAGGAAAATTGAAAAAAAAAGTTTAATGCGTAAAGTATTTATAAGTATAAACAAATGAATAATAATAAATAATAAAATTTGTTGTTGTTTGAAGAGATGGTCAATTTAGAAAGTTCTTGTTGTGCAGTTTTGTTTGTTTACTCATATATTAGTTTTTTTGGTGTTGGAAAGTGTTGAGGCCCAGACTCCCGAGGGCTGGATGTCTGAGTTTTTGGTGTTTGGGTTTTCAGTTTATAGTGCATTTGAATAGATTTAAGAGAAAGGAAAAATATATATAGTTTGGAGAATTTTTTTGTTCTAGTTTGTTAAAAATTAATTCAAAGTAAGGGAGACTTTTGTTTTGTTGTAGATAATATCATTTGGAGAAAGATGTGGGGGAATGAGTGTTGTTTTTGAAAATAACTTGTGTGGGGTGTTTTGTTTCTTTTGGAAATTAGTTATATATACAGATAAGAGTAGTGATATTTAGTAAAAAGTGATGTTTATATGTATTTTTTATTTATTGATTAGATTTTTTGAGGTATATATTGTGTTATTTTTTTTGTATTATTTGTGTCATTTGGGTAAAGACAATTTTATGGAGTTTTTTCTATTTAAAGTGGAATTGCTTTTAATTGCTTTTTTTAATACACTTTTATATTTGTTATTGGGATTTTGGTTTTGTTAATGATATGTCGAGGTTTAGATTGGGTAGGGTTAGTTTGGTGGAGTTTTGGGTGTTAATGAATTAGGTGGCTTTTGCTAGATGTTTTTTAATATTTGAAAGATTTTTTATTTAATGTTTTTAAGATGGTTTTTAATAGTTTATTTGTACTTGGTGCATGGTAAGGGATATGGTATATTTACTGAATATTATGTTTTTTAGTTTAGGTGTTGATAAGGTTGTTTTTGAAATGAGTTTTATGGATTGATTTAATTTTTTAGGGGTAATATATTTTTAAAGGACTTGTTTTTTAAGGTTTAGGATGATGTTTTGAGTAGCAGTGTGAGGTATTGGGTAGGTTTTTATTTATTTAGTGATGTTTTTTATTATGTAGTGTTTATTTTGGTGTGTTTGGGGTACAGTAATGTAGTTAATTTGTCTGGTTTTTATATTTCTATTTAGATTATTATTTCTTATAGGGGATTTAATTGATTGTAGTATGTGTTTTAAACTTATGGATAATGTGAGAAATTGTTTATGGCTAAATTTATTTTTTGGTTTGGTGTTTATTTGGAGATGGTATTTTTATTTTGATAATGCGAGGTATTATGAGATTATTGAGTTAGAAACAATTTGGTTTTGTATGGTTAATTGCAGTTTATTTTTGATCTTTTTATATTTCACAGGTGAAAGGCGATTCCCCCCAGTTTGAACACAGACAATAATGGAGGAGGAGTTTCTTCCCTCAGTTTTAACTTCTTTTGCCCTCATAACCCCTATTTTTTTTTTTTTTTCCTGGGAGAACAAGACAGCGAAGAGCAAAATAAAATCGAAAGGGGAAAGAGAAAAGTCCCCTCTGCAATCCCACACTGGCTCACCTGCTCAGCTGCTGCTCCCTGACACAAAGGTTTGTCCCTCAGCACCTCCTTTAAGCAACGCTCCACATCCGAGTGCATCCAGGTGCTCCTCCAGGCCCTGCGAGATCCCCTCACCATCGTTCCGTGAGACACCCCAGGGATCCGGCCATAAACCCCTCTCCTCCGGTTGCTCCATGCCCAAATGAAAGGAGGGAAACCCTCCCCCTTAAACAGTGCCCGGCAGGACCCACCCCGTCCTCATCCTCATCACTGCTCACACCTGGCACAGCTCTGAGCCCTCATCATCCTCACTGCTCACACCTGGGGCTGCTCTGTCCCCTCATCATCATCACAGCTCACACCTGGGGCTGCTCTGAGCCCTCATCATCTTCACAGCTCACAGTTTGTGCTGCTGTCACCCCAAGACCGAGGGCAGGGGCAGAAGGAACGCATTGCTCATTCCCTAGATAGATTTATATTGCTTGTATTTATTTCTTATTTATGCCTATATTTATATCTTTATTATAGATTTGTATATTTTCATTTCTATATTATTTATTTAAAAGCCCTGCCTCTAAGGCAGAGGGAGAGGTGCAGGGAAGCAGAAAAAATTACATCAGCGAGAGAAGAGTGGGATGGTAGGGCTGGGATGTAGAAGAGGGGTAACATGGACTAGTGGGTCCAGGACTCATCGCAGCTCCCACGCAGAGCTGCCGGGAGAATTTGAAAGTTCGGAAGTATCTTTGTCTCCCTCTCCATCCCTATCCCTTAATCTATATTTCCAGTGGCTCGGCTGTCAGCCACTTAAAACATTTAAGTTAATGTCTTGCAACTTTTACAGTATGTATGAGGCTTCATAAATACACAGCTTCACGTGTGCACGCACTACATGGTTACGCATACACGCCTTGCCGCGCTCGGCGGCGATCTGCTTAGGACTACGCTTAGAGTAATTCTTCCTCACCCGGAGAGGCAGAGGAGATCCCAGCACTCCTCCCCGGCAAGAATGACGTGTTTTTTCCCCTGAAATTTAAGGGGTCACGTCTCAGATTTTGTCCCTGTCCCCCCATGGCCAAATGGGCACTCCTCGGAACGCAGCGCTGCCAAAGCTCATCTTCACTGCGGTGACGGACGGCCGCGCGGACGACAAAGCCCACACACGCACTCAGAAGACTGCGAGCCTCATTCGCGGCCCGGCAGGCGGCTGCAACAGCCGGGTCCGATGGGGCAGGAACCGGCGCTCTACTCCGCCCGAGCCGAACGCCGAGAGACCAGCGGCGGCGCGGGGCGGCTGGGACCGCCCGAGCCCCGCCCGCCGCGCGCCCGTCCGTGCGGCAGCGCGCTCCGCCCCCGTCGCTAGGGAAGTGAGGTCACGCAGTATGGTGGCTCGGGGCCGGAGGAGCTGAGGGGCCGGTCGTATCGGGAATCCGTGTCCATCTTGCTCGGGAGCTGCGGCGACGGTCTTGCCTGTCTCGCTAGTATCGACCGGCGAGACCAAAGCCGCGATGGCAACCGAAACCGCAGGACTGTGAGGCATCAGAACGAGAGCCAGCAGGCCGGGCAGAGCAACAGAACCGGGTCGCGGAGGAGCCGAGCTGCCGCCATGGAGTTGAGGGTTGGGAACCGGTACCGGCTGGGCCGCAAGATCGGGAGCGGCTCCTTCGGGGATATCTACCTTGGTAAGGAGGATGGCTCGCTGGGAATTTAGCTGGCCGTTTTGTGGCGCTGTGGAGAACATCGAGGGCCTAGCCGGGTCGGGCAGGTACCTGGGCTAGGGGCACAGCAGCAGTAATTTAATATTTCGTTGACATCATGTCCTAATTTGGACAATGCGGAAATCGGGAATTCTGGTTTACTCGGCTGCCTCTTCTCATTGTCGTCTAGTGACCTTGGGCACCGTTCGCGTCTGTAAAATGGACGTAAAGGTAAAAATCGCTTCATTTGAAAACAAGGAAAAAAAACCCCAAAACCACATAAATCCTAAAAACTCACAACCCACCACGTTCGGGAAAACCTTTTGGGAAAGAAACGTTTACCAGGGTTAGGTATTGCTGCATTGGACCGGGAAAAATTGTTGTCAGAAGGATGTTTCTTTCTCCTGTGAGGCCTAAAAAAAAATTACACAACTACAGGCGATTAGGTTGCAGTAAAAAAAAATCTTTAGATCCTTCAAATAATCCTCGTAGTTTGGCTAATCTTGTTGCTTGACCGTCACCTAATAGTGATCGCTATGCAACTGTAAAATGTACACGATTGTAATTGTCTTTGCCAGTCCATTATTATAAGTCTCTAATATTATAGCCTACTGCTGTTGCTTATGACAAGCACAGGTACTGAGTACAACGTGTTTTGAAGGCAGGTGTTTTTAAAATACTCTACATATTCGGCAAACTCCCAAGCCATGTGAAGTGGGTTAAACCCAAAGAAATACGAGTGTTATGTCCCGTCCCGTAGACACAAGTACTCTGCTTTTGAAAATTGTGTTAAAAAAAGCAAATGTTTAAAAAAGCAAATCAAGAGGGGGGTGCGTGGAAGGTGGAACTTGCAGGGGATAGGATTCATCTTTTAGCAAGATAAAAATAATGTCACTTGCTAGCTTACGTGGTATGTTTGGCAGTGCATGCAGTATGAGAGGTGGGGGTTGTTTTTCTAGACAGCAGGGCTTCATCTTGCAGTGCACAGCTGGCATTCCAAAATAATTTGTTAGCTAAAGCTGCTTGTCTACAGATAACGACATACTAGTTATCTATAGGACAGCTTATGACGTCTGATGAAAAATGCACATTTTTAGCTGAAGGTATGTGGTTGTCTAGAGACAGCGAACGTGATTCTTCCTATCTGCAATGCATGTGTAGAAGATTGAAGACATGACTGTAGAAGATTGTGGTAAAGCTTGTGCAAAAATCCTTGTTAGCCTCAACTGGGATTTTGGGGGGGCAATTAAGACAGCAGTTAAAATCTGAAAAGTCTTAGATGATTTGAAAAATTTTAACTTTTGACTACTGCTCAGAAAAATCAGATTATATTATATGGATTTCAAGCAGAATAGACGTTTACGTGTCGCTTTTATGTCTATGCATGCAGCTCATACCAGTCAAGTTGCACAGGAAGTAACAGTTTCCTGTATGCTAGCATATATATTAATGCCATACTGAATTTTGTGCAGTAAGTCCTATGGGGTTTACATATCTTTTTTATTTCTAAATAATCATCACAGATTTACTTTCAGGGCTCATTGCAAATGTCATGCCTGAGCCAGTAACTAGCATGGAAGTACATGAATGGAAGATACAGCTGGTGGCATGGGTTTATTTTTCCAGGGGAAGTTACTGTCTCTCAAGAACCAAAGCCTTTTGTAGGGTCCTATTTGGTTTGCCTATCATTATCTGGTAGAACAGATGCTGAAAACTATGTTTTTTGTGGTAATGAAATGTGTTCGGTTTTCTAAAAATGCCAGTTACTTCTCGGTTGTTCAGACTGTCCACTAGACATAAGTATCTTAAAATAATTTCTAAAGTTATTTCAGAAGTCACTATTTATTTTTAAGTACATGTGCCTTCTGATAGGCCTCAATGACTTGGTAGATCATTTCAGTGTACATTCCCAGCTCAGTTTTATGCTTTGAAAAGGAAGATTTGACTATTTTTGCCTGCTTCCAGTCCCCAGGTTTTGTATTAAATGCAGCTATAAGGGTGTTGAAGACATTCCAGAGTAGCGGGGAGTGACTTCCTCCATTTTCCCACCCTTTCCCTTTTTCCCTACTTTGGAATAAGGAGCCAACAACACTGTTAGGATCATGGTTCTTTCACATCCTTTCCTCCTCTCCTTACCTCAAAATTTGTCTTCTGGAATTGGTAATGGGGGTCTGTGGGACAGGATTTTTAAATGTAAGGCACAACTGTAAATAAATGAGCATGGACAACTTACTTAAAAGAAAATAAAATTTAGTTTACCTATGTTACCTTCCAGACGAAGATATGAAAGAAATTGATAAACGGATATTATAAATAATAGAAAAGGTGGACAGGAGTGGGTGGATCAGAGAAAGCATTTGTTTTGTTGCCCAGATTATGAGGTCAAGTAGGAAACAGTCATGAAGACGGAATAGTTGCAGTGTTTTTGAGGTTTTTTTTGCATTGTGTATATATTAAGAATGAGTTTTAGGTTGTAAACTAATTATAATAATTTCCAAGGCCTTCCTTAGGGAAGAGGACTTTGCAATTACAAGTAAATTAGAATTTTGTGTTTTAAAAAATATGTTTTCACAATCTTAGTCTTTCTTTTTCATTTATAAATGGTGACTTCGCATTATACTGCTTGTTACTACTTTTTAATTAATGATTCTTTCCATAGGACTGCTGCTTCTCGAATATTACTAAATATTCCTTAAAGGAAGCTGAGCTTTTGGTGAAATACTGGGTGCTGTAAAATTTTAGAAACTTTTGTCTGAGGTTTGAGGTGTAGACAAAAGCCCCCACTTGGGGACAAGCGCTGGATTGCTTGGCAAAATCATTTTGATTTTTGTGCTGCTCTCATTGGTTTTGCTGGGCTCAAAAATATTAATTGCATTGTTTTAGTACCGAATCTCTTGTCTTGAAGGAGAGGGCTTACACAGAAGTGGAGCTTAGGCTAAGGATCTTGTCTTTCTTAGGTGGTAAAGACTTCCTGGGAAGAGCAAGTATGCTTAAAAAGTGACATAACAGTTTGAGACCATGGTCTGTCAAATAGGTTTAATAGTGCGTTGAGCAGAAGTTGATCCTGATAATACAGGTCTTGATCTTCCTACACAGTGTTTGCATTAATCAACCACAGAAGTCTGCAGCTGTCTGTAGAGAGATATGTCTTTCATTATATGGAGGTGGAAATTTGTGTCTGTTTTGGACCAGAAAAGTTTTTTAAAACAGCCAAATCAACCAGAACCCCAAAACAACCCCATTGCTGATGATCGCTCATCAGTTAATATGGTCTTCAGTCTACACCTCCCTGATTTGGGCTCCCGTAGAACTTGGGAGAGCAAGGGATAATCAAGAATGGTCAGGAGTTGTGTGGTTCAAAATCAGGACTCTCATTTGAGGTGAGGAGGTCAGTATTAAGTCCTTCCTCTTTGTACTGTTACTTTCAAATGTGCTTTCAAATCTCTGGTTTGATGTTCACTGTGATTAATTTAAAATCCACCAAAATAATTCATTCATGAAATGTGAAAAATACTGGATTACATATTGAAGAGCTTCCAGTTGCTGTGACTATACTGTGACCAAAGTAACAATCCAGGATCCTGTCACTTGTTCTGCTAGATAAAAAAGAGTGGTACGAGACAGATGCATGTACAGGCTTTTTTTTCCATTTCTTTCTTTTCAGTTGATGGCCTTGTGTTGTGCGTATTGTATCTAGAGTGAGCTTTGTATGTTTTGTTAATTTTTAAGGTGCGTCGTGAAATGCCTAATAAATACCTGCTGGGGTGTCCACTCAGAGAACCTCAGCAACAGCACCCGCTGTTGCTGTTGCTGTTGCTGCTGTTGATACCCGCGTGTGCATGCAAATGGGAAGACATTTGATTAACGTAAAAAAAGATGCTTATAGTCTTGTGTGAGCTCAGATGATTTCTTGCAACATCGGTTCCTGCCAAAGTGAGCAGTCATGCCCGTTTTGAGGTGTGGGATGTTAGCATGTCTTTGTAGCCTTAGTTTTCCTGACTTTATAGGATAAAAGCCTATAAAGCACTGAAGTAGCTCCTTAATTGCAGGAATAGGATTTTGCAACTACAAAACTTAGGTCAGTACTCTGTAATGGTCAAAGAAAAAACATATGGGAAAAGATAGGTAGGCAGAAAAATACGTAATTATACACAGGTGTCTTTACTGCTTCGTGTGACTCCCAGAAAGGGCATTGTGGAACTGACAAAGGTACAGATAAGAGAAATGGGAAATAATATGCAGTAATTAAAAATTACTTATACAGGGAATGACCACAGTTTTTGAACTATGAAAAAAGCTAAGCGAGAGTGAGGTAGTGTAAAAGTGTATGCAATCCTGATCATGGTAAAAGTGGGTACAAAAAGATCATTTGGTGTTTCTCAACAAAGGAAAACAACCAGTGAACTTCAAGTTAGGCTTTTGAAAGTGGGGATCTGATCAAATAGTAGGTGATGCACTTCACAGGATCCTGAACTGTGAGGAAAAGCTGAAAAGGGCTAAACTGAGAAAGTAGAGAGGCTTGGCAATATGTCTGTGAAGTGTCACATTTCCTTTTGCTATTTCCTTTTTTTTCCCTGTAGTTCTTAAGTTGCTTGGCTGTGAAAGTGTGTACTTTCTTGACTGTTTCTTTTTAAGAATGTCAGTTTCTCCCTACATACTTTGAAAGTGAACGGGTGAGCCATTTTTTATAACAAGAATTTAATGAGATTTAAAGAAAGCTTTTGCAGACTGCAGGTTCTTTAGTCTAGATAATCTGCCCTCCAGCCAAGTAAAATGAGGTGTCAGGGTACAGCCAGAGTATGTTGAGATCTAGGGAAATTGTAGTCTCTATTTCCAAGACATAAGAGGAGGTGATTTGATTTCCTAGCATTTCTTCCATTGGTGAGGCATGTAATATGTTTGTAAATATTAATTTTGAGCATTTTTACCACAAACTAGAAGTGTAAAGACATCCCTGAGAAGATGCACTTGTTTCAGTTCTCTACTTTGCTTTGGGAATTTTTTCTTTTTTTTTTTTTTTAATGGGATAGCAACAGTTTTGGCTTCTTCTGCTACAGTGTCTAATAGTTGTCTTTTGTGATCCTAGTCTTTTGGAGAGTATCTGTAAGGTTTCAGAATAATTTTTAGATAATCGTGGCTGAAAGAACTTAATGGATGTTTGCCATTGAGAAATTGTTGAATTTTGTTTTGTTTTGGTCTTGGCAAAGGAAATGCATCTTAAAAATATTTTGACCAATGTTTAAATTTTTCTGGTTTTAGGAACTGATATTGCTGCTGGAGAGGAGGTTGCAATAAAGTTGGAATGTGTGAAAACCAAACATCCTCAGCTCCACATCGAGAGTAAAATCTACAAAATGATGCAGGGTGGAGGCAAGCAAACTTACTTTCCTTCTTCAAAGATTTTACTGGTTTTACACCTTTGATGTATCTGCCACCTGGCGGATAATGTTTGGGTTCTCTTTTGACAAATGAGGAGAAGGTGGGAAAGGTAGCAGGGTAGATGAAGAGCAGCATTTCAGTTCTACAGGGGTTGTAGAGGAGCAGTTCCAAATCCATGATTACCACGCTTTATGATAAATCGGTAAGATCCTCCAAAGTTTCTCATGGTTCCTGAAATATTAAAATGGGAGGACCTTGTGCAATGTGAAACAAAGTTTGGTCCCAGAACAGTGATTTATTTCTGATTCTTATGGATCAGTGAAAGATGTAACCACTGCTTTGGACCATTTCACCTGACTTGCTTATTATGGTAGCACAATTTTAAACTTTTAAAATTCAGGTTAATTTCTGTTGTACATGTTAGTATTTTGTCTTCTGAGTTAAAAACTTGCTGGGAGAATTCAAAGATAAAATGGCATTAGTACTGGAGAATAGGAGTGCAGCAGGGTTCAAAGCCAGCAAAGATGCTCAGTACTTTAAAGTTACAAGGTAAGTACAAAGACTGGAAGGTTTCTGGGGAAGGAAAAAAAAGGCTATTTTTACACCTCTGTTTCTATAATTTTGTAGTGATTCTGCTGGAAGTTATCAAGCACATAACTTTGGAATGTCTGAAGGTAGCATAAAATATTAAGTTTCACTGTAAATGGAAACATTCACAGTAATGACCCTCAGAAATCATCTGGAGAGCCTTGAAGTGTGTGTACGAATTATGTAAATCAAATTGTTACACTGAATAAATGTGGGTTTTTTTTCCTAGTGGGTATTCCCACAATTAAGTGGTGTGGAGCTGAAGGGGACTACAACGTTATGGTGATGGAGTTGTTGGGACCGAGTCTTGAAGATCTCTTCAATTTTTGTTCAAGGAAATTTAGTCTCAAGACAGTCCTTTTACTTGCTGACCAAATGGTAGGAAATGGCTTTGTTATCTTCATAGTGCAGTATGTTGGGATATTGGAATTTTTTTGATAGATCATGTACATGTCATTTCGAAAATTTAGAGCTGAATAGGCTATATTAATAGAGAAAAGACTCAAAATTTGTTCTGTTTCTGTTACTCCAAACTATCCTGTCAAAAGCAATTAACAATTCTTCTTTAAAAACTGGACTTGCACTGTTTGCAAGCCAGGTGTTGCACTGCTCAAAGACTAAGAAATTTCCCCAGGACAGTTTTTGGAAACAAATCTAAAATAGACACCGGCAAAGAGCTGGAAAGAAGGTTTGTCCATTGTCTTCTAAATTATGTTCTCTTTAATGCCCTTATATTGTACAATAAAAAGGGGGGTTGCCTCTTTCGTTATTAAGACAGAATTACTAGTGTTTTTGTCAGAAAAAGATGTGTGCTTAGTCTCTCGACAATGATTTTTTTTGCGATTCTGTATTTAGATTAGTCGAATTGAGTATATTCACTCTAAGAACTTCATCCACCGAGACGTGAAGCCAGATAACTTCTTAATGGGCCTGGGGAAGAAAGGCAATCTTGTCTACATAATAGACTTTGGACTAGCAAAGAAGTATCGAGATGCTCGAACTCATCAACATATTCCATATCGTGAAAATAAAAACTTAACAGGAACTGCCCGTTACGCATCTATCAACACTCATCTCGGAATTGGTGAGCTGGGGAAAGCAATAAATAGAAACTTGAAAAGTGTCAATGCATGTAATTTTAGTGCAAGTAGATGTTACTTTTGTGGAGGCATAGGAGACAGTCCCTATTTTGGACACTAAGAGTGCAGCGTGCATGGCCTTGCATATCTTGGTTAGGTGGGATTCAGTCAGTTTGTAATGCTCAGGAATTTGCACACTTTTTAGTAACTGCAAGGATAATAGGCTTTTCTTGTACTGAACAAGTTTATCATGGTCATAGTAACTCTCAGCTGTCTCTTGTTTTTGTAAGGGTTTTTATAACAGTCTTGTTGCACAGACTTTTGTTTTTCCAGTAGAAAATGAAACCTAATGAGTTCACTTTTTTATGCTGTTGTAGAGCAATCTCGCAGAGATGACTTGGAATCCTTGGGCTATGTACTGATGTATTTTAACCTGGGCTCCCTCCCCTGGCAGGGACTGAAAGCAGCAACAAAGAGGCAGAAATACGAACGTATCAGTGAAAAGAAAATGTCTACACCCATTGAGGTTTTGTGTAAAGGATATCCTTGTAAGTTATTCTTCTGTGATGCTAGGCACATGTGTTCATGGTTTAGTGGTACATCTCCTTTCTTTATGTTAAATTCTACCACTATTTTTCACCGTCTCTCCCTTTCTCTCTCTCTCTCCTCTTCTCCCTCCTTACCCCCCATGACTTTACCACATGTATGGTAAAAATACTATGCTGAAGTCTGAGATCGGTTGTGTTTGTAAAGCATTTCTAGCGATCCCATGTCTCAACTGTTGAAGTGTCCTCACGAGGAAGGGTGGCATGGTACATCTGAATTGTGCTGTACATTTTATGCACCTGTTGGTTGGATAATTTGTAACAGACAAATAGCATTTTAACAAACTGCCTCTTTCTCTATCTGTGTGGGTACTGTTTCTTGGATGAATTGGATTGCATAGTGAGATGCACGTCTCCCCTACTGCAGTTGTTTCACTTGGGAATTATTATCCCAGGTTCATCCAGTTTGGCCAGCTGATGGGTTAGAATTTGTGAGAGGCATAAGAAACCCTGCTTTATCCTAACATCATGCTTCAAAGCAGTTCTGTTTCTCAGTTTGTTATTTATACAAAAACAATAATAAGGCATTTTGGAGTCTTGTAAAATGATACTTAAATTTGTTTTAAAATTCAGTAACACTAGCTGTGATCGGAGAACATTTTCATTTCACAAAGAGTTCTGTCTCTTCTTTCCACCCTCTCGGCTTCGACAACCAGTTACAGTGACAAGAACTATAGCTTTTGTTTGGGTTGTATGAAAATTCATCATTTTTGATGTGTTTCAAATGTTGCATCATGCATGTTCCTTTACATTCATGAGCTACGTGTTTTCTCTGTGGTTTACAAGTAGGAAAGACAAACCAGGCTCTCTTGTGCCATTTGTTAGAATTTCTTTCTTAATATAAATTAATACCTTCATTTGGGAAGATCTAAAGTCAAAAGCTGGTACTTTGATCATGCTGTTTTCTCTGGTGCACTGAATTCTATACAGAAGTCATTTTTTTGCTTTGTAACTAATATTTTGCTTGCCACTTAAAAACAAGTGTTCAGACTATTGTAAATTAAAAATGCGGCATGACTTACCTGGGAGATTTAATTTTTGTGTTTTGTGATGTAGCAGACATGAATCTCTTAACAAAGAAATGTTCTTCCATGTCCCACAGTAAATTACGTTCAGTATATTCCAAGCAAGGTTTTAAACCTTTTCTCCCCCACCAACTGTTGGTTAAAGAACTGTACTATTGGGTCCTCTCTGGTGTTGACAGATGAGATTTTTTACTGTTCCGTTACAGAAAAATAGTTTATTTTTCAGGGTTTGCATGATAGTGTTCCCTTTGGTGGATTTCTAATATTAGATCATTATTCTTTTTCTTTTCCCTGCTTTTCAGGTTTGGGGTGGTGTGGGGTTTTTTGACACAGAATTACAAAAAGCCAATGCAAAGCTGAAGCTAAAAAACAGGTTTTCTTTAATTACAGCTGAATTTGCCACGTACTTGAATTTCTGCCGTTCTTTGCGTTTTGATGACAAGCCAGACTATTCCTATCTAAGGCAATTATTCAGAAACCTCTTTCATCGGCAAGGATTCTCCTATGACTATGTATTTGACTGGAACATGTTGAAATTTGTGAGTAGTTCACATGGCTTTCTAAAACTTTGAATTTTTAATGGTTTTGGTTGGGTTTTTTTACTACATTGTCAGTTTTGAGTACCTTAACTGATACTGTAAGATTGTCTTCCATTTTTCCTCCTGGCAACTCTACTGTATAGACAAAAAGATAAGGAAATGAGGAAAGGCAGAAGATACAGGATCCATGCCGTAAGGTTTGGATGACAACTAAATTGCAGTTACAAGGCTTTTAATGTGGAAGGCTTCTTAGATCTTTTAGGGCAGTCACCAGGCTAGGTTGTGGAATTATTACTTTCTCCCAGCTTCATCTTTAAATAGTGGTCATTTGCAGCATTTGAGGAAGTGTCCAGCTACTGTAGCAGTATGTGTGTCCATTAGCATTATGAAGACTATCCAAGCAGCTGTATGAACAAAACTTATGGCAGTTCTCAAGAAATTTTACCAAAGCAGTTGATGCCCTCTCAAACTTCAGTTCGCACATTGTCCAGTTCTTTATTTTCAAACGTATAAAGTAAGCTCAGTAATCCCCCAAGTTGTTCACTAGTCTTGACCCGTAGGGTGCAAGCAGAGCGGCTGAAGATGCTGAACGTGAAAGGCGAGAACGAGAGGAAAGATTAAGACATACACGAAATCCAGCTGTACGTGGATTACCCTCCACTGCTTCTGGCAGGCTAAGAGGAACGCAAGATGTAGCTCCTCCTACTCCCCTTACCCCAACTTCACATGCTGGTAAGTAAGCAAGTACCTGCAAAAGTGCATCTTCTAGACTACTCTAATTGACAGTTTGTCTCTGGGCAGCGTTTGGCCTTTTGGTTTGTTTTTTTTTCCTCTTGCTTCTTAGTAGATTGAAGGTAATTGCAAACACTTATTGCCTGGCAATTGGTACTTGTATTTCTATGAAATGTCAAGCAAAGGCCTTGATTCCTCATTTGGTCTTGTGGAATTTTTATGTGCAAACAGCAAGAGTGTAGTTTTTTCAGAGATTGTGTTAAAATGGCATTTCTCATTATGAGAATCTAATGTAGTTTTTCTCACAGCCAACACCTCTCCTCGGCCAGTATCCGGTATGGAACGAGAAAGGAAAGTGAGTATGAGATTACATCGTGGTGCCCCAGTCAATATCTCCTCGTCTGATTTAACAGGCCGACAAGATACCTCTCGCATGTCAACTTCGCAGGTAAAAAAAAAATAAATCTGTGTATTGAAAAAAATAAGGGTGATTTGATAAAGTTAATTTGCCAAAAGGACTTACCAGGTAATTGATGTGATTTCACACTGTTCTTGCAGATGATGTTCATGAATGTAAATGCTTTACATTTAGCCTGAACGATGTGGGTGTGAAGAAATTTTTATTTTTTCCTTGAAAGCAATGAGAGGATGCAAAATACTAGAGGTGCAGCATTCTACTATTATGGGATTTAGCTCCTTGACTCATTGAGTTCCTTATATCTCTTACCAGTGAAGAAGCAGAGTAAGAGACAGCAGTGAATCGTGTTTCCAAATTAACAGAGCAGAGAATATTGGTGCAGAAGAGGCAAGAAGCATTTGGTGATGAATGGAAGGTCCGATAGTGAAGAAATGTTGTAGTGAAGTGCTCTTAATTCAGGGCCAATAAGAGGCCACATACACGGATGATGGATACATTGCAGAAGGCTCATTTGAGGAGAATGGCAGGAGGATAAATGATAGTGATTTGTAGTCATCACTGAAATCATCCTTACTGCTCACAGTGACTTAGCAAAGAAATTTTAAGAATCTTTCTTCTTAAGACTGACAATTTTAAATATGTTTCTAACTATATGCTATAGCTGAAACATTCCTTCCTTACCACACTGACAGTCTTGTCCCAAACGGTGTGTGGCTTGGCTTTGTACAGTTTATTTTCAGTCTTATAAAATGGAAATCAGCCAATCTGTAGACATTCTGCATCATTTCTGGGGAAGCAGTGTGTTAGGGGACTGTTGCAGTGACCTAGGGATTTTTCCATCTTGCCTCACTGCTGTGCAGGAGTTCTTAACTGCATCATTTTGCCAAGGACTCATTATTCCTCATTGACAGAGCACGTTGACAGAAATAACTCGGTTCCTTTTGGCTTCATCATTTAATTGGCAGAGGTAATTACTTTCGGATAGTACATATTCTTACCTATGAAATCTTACTGCTAGAAAGTGTTTTAGATGGGGGCCAGGTGGATATCTCTAATGAAGACTGAGAGTAACTGGGTTGGAGAAACAATTCCATTGTGATAAAAGCAAAGTAGGATTTTGGGGGTGGGTGGGGTTTGTTGAATGAGTTGTTTCACCACGTAGCTGCACATATACTTCTGCTTGCACAAGGGATGAACAGTTCAGGGGCAGAAATGACTGGGCAAGAATAGGAGATAGGCGAGGTTTTCTGTACTGGCTTTGGGTACAAGTTTCGCCATCTTAAATTGTTCACTGAGCTACTATTCTTGCCACCAGAAATTTTCATGTTGAAATATTTTTAAGTAGTATGAAAACAAAAAGGGTAGAATTATGCATAGTTATGGATCTTGTAAATTTGCATAAATACCTGTTAGAAGAATGTAAAGAAGGTGCAACTGGACTGTTCGCAGCAATATCCAGTTAACGGACAGCAGAGAATGGGCACAAATTGAAATACGGGACGTTCAATTTAGGCATACAAATAAACCTCTTTTACTATGAATGTGGGCAAGGACTGTAACAGGTTGCTCAAAGGGGTTGTAGAGTCTCCCTTTTCCAAATTACTTTGAGCCCAATTGGACATTGTCCTGAGTGGCCTGCTCTAGTTGACTGTGCTTTGGGTAGTGGGATTGGGCTACATGATTTCCAGGGCTCCTTTTTGGCCTTGGATATTCTGTGAGGCTGTGATGCAGACTTCTCCCTGAACATTTACTTTATGTAAAGATAGTTTCTTTGAAATGTGTATATGCCAGGTTTTCGGCATTCTGAGCAAATCTCAGAAGCTTTGTTAACAGTCAGATAAATAAGTAATAGCAGTAACAGACAGAAATGCAGTGATGCCACTTGATTGTTTTGGGTGAAAGTACATCATTAATGTTTTTACTGTGTTCATGACATGTTACCCAGTGTGCAGGTGACACTATTGTAAACATTTCAAGATATGAGTAATACAACTGGGCTTGTAGGTACATTTTGGTTCTGCCTAGCTTGTAAAATGTGAATACTGTGAGGGTGTGTGAGTGGTTTTCTGAGTGGTCTTTAAACATCCAGAGGTATCATTTGCGATACGGGCCAACAGTACGTTCTGGCCTAATGACGCATTCCCTACCTGCTCTTTTCAGCACTCTGAGCACTTTCTGCTTCAAATATAGGATCACTTGGTTGACTTCTTTACAGTCTCAACAGCGGCCTAATTGGGATCTTCTCTTGAGTTTGTTAGAACTAATAATTCATTGACTGCTGTGTTCATTTAGTTCTTAAGACAGTGCACCAGTGCTGGTATTTACTCACGGTGACCGAATAACAATGTGTGACTGTAGTATAGTTTGAACAGGTTCCTGTGGGCCTGTTGAAATTGGAAGGCAAGAGAGATTTGCAAGGGGAATGGGTTGGAATGGAAGGGACCTTAAAGATCACCTCATTCTGACTTCCCTGCTGTGGGCAGAGAACTTTCCAGTAGGCCAGGTTACTCAGAACCCCATTCAGCCTGGCCTTGAACATCTCCGGGGATGGAGAGTCCACGACGTCTCTGGGCAACCTGTTCTAATGCCTCACTGCCCTTAAAGAATTTCTTCCTAATAAACAAATCTACCCTCCTTCAGGTTAAGGCCATTCACCCTTGTCCTGTCACTATATGGACTTTTTAAAGAGTGGCCATGTGAACAGCTGCTCTTCAGCCTTCTTGTAAGCCCCCTTTAGGTACTGCAAGGCTACTCTCAGTTCGCCCCAAAGTCTTATCTTCTCCAGGTTGAACAGCCCCAACTCTCTCAGCCTGTTTTTGTAGGAGAGGTGCTCCAGCTTCAACTTAGTGGCTCTCCTCTGGACTCATTCTAACACTGTCAGTGTTCTTGTGTTGGGGGCCCCAGACCTGGACATAGTACTCTAGGTGGTGTCTCAAAACAGCAGAATAGAGGGTAAGAATCCCCTCTCTTGAGTTGCTGGTCACTTTTCTTTTGATGCACTCCAGGACACAGTTGGCTTTATGGGCTGCAGGTGCACATTGTTGAGTCATGTTGAGCTTCTAATCCATGAACACCCCCAAGTCTTTCTCCCCAGAGCTAGTTTTGATTCATTCTTCACCTAGACTTTACTTGGGCTTGAAGTTGACCTGACCCACAGGCTGGACCTTGCACTTGACCTTGTTGAACTACATGAGGCTCCCAGAGACCCACTTCTCAGGCCTGTTCAGGTCTCTGGATGGCATCCCTTTCCCTCCAGCATGTTGACTACACCACACAGCTTGTTGTTGTTAGCAAATTTGCTGGGGATACGCTCGTTTCCACTGTCCATGTTGCTGACAAAGATGTTGAACAGCATCGATACTGAGGAACAAGCGCCACTCATCACTGCTTTCTACTTGGACATTGACTCACTGACCACAATTCTTTGAGTGCAGCTATGCGGCCAATTCCTTATCCACCGAGTGGTCCATGTGTCAAATCTGTGTCTCTCCAGTTTAGAGACAAGGATATCATGTGAAACAATGTCCAGTACTTTGCACAAGTCCAGATGGGTGACATCTGTGGCTCTTCCCTCGTCCACCGCTGCTTAGCCCCTCTGTAGACAGTCGCCAGATTTGTCAGGCACAATTTACCTTTAGTGAAGCTTTGTTGTCTGACACCAATCACCTTATTCTCCATGTGCCTTAACGGATAAGAGGATGTGTTACATGATTTTGCCAGGCACTGAGGTGAGACTGGCCTGTAGTTCTCTGTGTCATATTTCCCTCCATAAAACTAGAGGTTATGGTTTCCCCTTTTCCAGTCAGAGGGACCTACAGTGGACTGCCATGACGTCTCAAATATGATGGATAATGGTGTAGCCATTTACTCAGCCCATTCCCTCAGAACCCATGAATATATGTCATCAGGTCCCACAGACTCGTGCACTTTCAGGTTCTTTAAACAGTCCCAAACCCAGTCTTCCACAGTGGATGGTTATTTTTCCCAAACTCTGCCTTCACCTTCTGCAACTTGGATGGTGTGGCTGAAACGCTTTATTCAGACTTCAGCTTATAATGCTTCCACTTGAGCCTGTTAGAGAAAATTCACTCTTCATTTACCCAGTTCTCTCTCACTCTTCACCAGGCAAGATGGTGCAAGTTGCAAATGTTGATAGCTTGTGCTCTTTACAGTCTTCATAATACTAAAGTAGCTCTTCCGTAATCAGAATTTATCCTTAGATGTTAGCCAGGTTAACAGTTACAGCCATGAGTTTCCAATTATCTTTATACCTTGTTCTTAGGAAAACCTAAAGTGTTCGAGTTACGTGGTGAAGTCATTAAAGAGAATTTTGGCTGGAGAGATGTAAGAATAGAGTAATCCGTGTCACTTCTTATCAAGAGAACCATAAAGAATAGCAACTATTTGTCCATGTCCATTCCAAGTGTGCTAGTTTCCTTAGTAAGTCTTAAGTAAATGTACTACCACAGATCCTTTCTCAGGAAGTTCTTAAGCCATGCTTCTGGTAGAAAGCAAGTTTTAGCATTTGCCATGCACGTCTGTTAACTACTATATTTGTTAGAGTTCTTGTTTATAACTTGGTAAGTTTGGTTTTTTATTTAATTTACTTTATGCCTTGGTTTGGTAAGGCAGTGGTGCATCTGTAATCTCCACCTCTATTCATCTAGAGTGAAGGTTGCTGCTTGTAAAATTCTGGACAGTGAAATGCACAGGGGTTACTCAAACAAGGAAAGCTACTTGCCTCTAAGCACAGTTCTTAAAGGTGACTACTCCACGTGTTTATCTTTTGCAAACTGAATTCTGATGAGGTCAGACTGAAACTGTAAAACTAAGGCTGTGAATGCAAGTACTAGCAACCAAAGTTCTCTTATGAAAACCAGGCGTTCTCAGAGAAATTTAATGCTCATAGAAAAATGGCAATTGGTAAGCATAGCAAAATAGGTGTCATTTATTCTCCACATCCAAGATAGTGTCCACATAGTGCCTAAGTCATTATCATTAAAAAGACATGCAGTTTCCAACACTAAGAAACATGCATTTATTGGAGTAACAACTGCCGTGTCTGTGAAATTTAAATGTTTCTAATGAAATTATGTGAATTCTATGGCGCATGTCATTCAGTACTTTTCTGGATTATATGAAGTGGATACAACAGCAAAAAAGCCTGCAAGTTGTGGGTTCACAGATAAGGGAGCTGAGAGGTTGAGTGCAGTCTATTCAAATGTGTGTTCCTGCAGTACTCCAAAGTCTGGTTAGGATGAAGGAGTGGAGGCCTTTTTCTGGTATGGGGGAACTGTATCTGTGGTAAGTAATGCCTGAGGAGGCAGGTGTACTGTTGGAGAGGTTAGTGAGGTTTTGTAATCAAAGAGCACAATTTCCTCCTTGAATCTATGTATGATACAGTAATGAACAGAAGTGTAGATGTTATTTTGCGTCATTAGTGGGATGGACTGGGAGAATAGATTGTACAGCGTAAGAGTTTCAAATCAACTTCTTTCAGTTTGTCTGAAAGCTAAGAGAATGTCTTGAGTGAGTTGGTGTAGTGTTTGAGACACAATGATTTTAACAGGAATTAATGTTTAAGGAGAAAACATGTGAAGAACCTATTGCTTAAAATTAAAAGCACTCGTAAGTAAAGAAAGGCAAAATAGAGATCTAAGTGAAGGTGGTTACCTACTGAAACAACTTCTAAAGTAAGTAGATCATCTCTTCTCTCCGCCTTTGCATCAATACTCAGTTCATTTCTAAGTGGTGTGTTGAAGTCTAAACCAACCCTAAATTAGAGGTCTGTGTGCAGTGAAGGAGTGTGATCTGAGTTGGAGAGAAAATCATAGGAGCTGTTAAAAGATCCTTCTGCTCTTAAACTCTCTAAGAATTGCTCCCTAAGTCTCCTTTACACATAGGTTTTTTTAAACATTAAGAGACGTAGTAAAGGAGGTAGTAAGTAAGGTAATGAGCGTTCTAGTGAAAACTACCTTGTATTGGTTCTGTTGGTCCACATGCACAGACTGCATCCTGAAAGCAGTGATCATCTCAAGAGTCTAGTTATGGGTGAGTAGTCTTCATTTCCTTCAGCAGAAGTTCAGTCTGACTGCTCATGGTTACACAGTAATTTGTTTAATATTTTTTTCTTGAACGTAACATGTTCAGTACCCAACGGTCAAAGCTGTGGCAAATTCCTATTGGTAATATAGAGGTATTCTCTCTGGAGTTGGAAGGAAAGATTGAAATGCTGCACAAAGAAATACTTGATTACGTCTCTTTGACAGAAGTTTTTAGAAGACGGTAGCCAACACTGGCATTGAATAACTTAAGTGTTGTGCCACACTTCCAGTGCTTCTGCATTTTCCATTTCCGCATCTGCAAATCTTTCTCCACGTATCCATCTTAATAGGCATCATACTCTGCGTTGTTCTTCTGAGCCTGTCAGCTTCCTTTGAGGAGTAATGATTTGTTTCTTTTACGTGTCTCTTAATATGATGGAAATGTCTTATGGAAGTCTGAAATCAGAGCTTCTCAAAAGATAAAGTTGCTACTGCTACTGCAAGTTCAGGTTGGATTTTTGTTAAGACATCTTTATATATATTGGGGCAGTGGAACTGTTACAAATTGCTGTCTTTTCCCCTACCTCAGAATAGCATTCCTTTCGAACACCATGGCAAGTAGCTGCTCGTCTCCTTTCGTTGGAAGGCAGCACTGGGTGAGTGCTTCTCATTAGACACCAAAACTTTGTATGGGGTGGGGAAAAACTCTGTGGAAACATCTGACTTCGCTCCTTCTACTCATGTGATCTCCTAGTTGTATCTGTGCCTTCTGGTCAGATGCTTGATGAAGCATTGATTTTTCTCTAACTTAAAAGTAAATGTCTTTCCAAAAGCTGAGTTATTGCTGCTATTCCACTTGGACTCTTAAGCAGAATTGACAATAATAGTGACTTAAAAGGTCCCTAAAATTGTTTGAGTATCAACAATGAAGTAAAATAACGGAATCTAAATTTTAGCTATGTGAGAATCACGTCTTTCCATTCCAGGGATGCTGATGCAGCAGTATGTCATCCATTAAAACTAGATCTGCTCCAGAATCATAAAAGCAAAATACTTGTATGAAGACTCAATTGACATTATTGCTCAAGTGAGGCCCTGTCTTGTCTTGTCGTGAATGGAATGTTCTACTACAGCTGTGTCCATTTTTCACTGTTTTATATTCTTCTCCATGCCTTATGAGTTCTTATTTTAAAAATAATCAGATCTGTTCAGATCTATATTTAAAAAAAGGTCACATACTAACAAGCACAGTTGACCATGAGTATCTCAGAGGTACACAGACTTGAATTTGGGTATTATGAAGTCTTTTACACTGTTCAGTGCTGTAGAAGTTTCTACCTTTCTGTATGCAGCTTTTGGCTTTTCAGTCTGTTCTGCTTTTGGCAATAACAGGTGTCATATGAGAAATAACAGGTTACAGTTGGAATCTGAACCTTAATGGCTGAGGGATGCTTTTCTTAAGTATTTCAAGAGCTTCTTTGATTTGCTACTTATTAAAAGAAAAAGCTGTGAGATTTTTCTGTTCCTTAATAAATTCTGTTGTATAATTCTTGTCTGCTGTCTCACTTTCTCTATAAAGCCTAAGCTTGCATTAATCCTGTATCTCTAGTTGGTGAAGAATCCTGCTGTTTCTCTTGTGTTTTCTTCTTCTGCTTTGTGTGCTTGGCTGACTCTGTACAAGCTGCTTCGTGAACAGTTGATAACATTAAAAAGATCCAACTGTAAATGGCAGCTTAACTCTTTAAGGACCAGTTATCAGATCTTAGTAAAAAAAAAAAAGAAAAAAAAAAGAAAAAAAAAAAGACATAATTAAAAAATTGCAAAAAAGCAAACCTAAAGCTTTGCATCAAAAACCCTGTGTGCAGGAGACATGCGGATTGTGGTCTGGGTTGCGCCTGCGTTGGTCAGCCTGTACTGTGTGTCTGAGTATTTGTAGCTGTTCACAACTGAAAGAAATACTGGTCCAGCTGCTTAGATGTTTCTCGCTTCTTAAGTTGCAGAGATCTATGGTTGTTTTTCACTTTCATGGTGAAAGTGATACTGAAATAATACCTTACTTCAGTAGATCAAGCTATAGAAATACAAGAAGCATCTTATAATGTCCCATTGAAAGTGAAAAGCTATTTAAAATAATGAATTTATTTTTTACCTTCTTGATATTTTTTTTTAAATGAACTATCCATTGAGTCTATTACTGTGCATTCATAGTGTTTTCATCTGGTTGGTTCTTTCTGCTGCACATGTTTATGCTCTGTCTAATTTTCTTCAAAACATTCCCTCTGGCTGGAAAGGTGAATTTTCAATGTTAACTTTTAATAAAAGAGGAAAATAATAGGGAGCTTTGTGTAGCTGCAGGTGGGTGTGAAGCATTGTATTGCTCACTGGATTTTAAATTCACACACTTAAATTTTGGCAATTAATAGTTTAAACGTACATTGCAAAACACTTGTATTTCAACTGGAAGGATATGTGCTGATGTTGTCTTGTTTTTTGGCTTTGGTAGATTCCTGCTCGGGTTACTACCAGTGTTCTCCAGTCTGCTGTGCACCGATGAAAATTATTTTGCCATGGAGGGCAGATAATGCATGGCTGATCTCCCTTGTTACCAATGGCTTTACTAGCAAAAATACCCTAAATTAGAGCGGAAATTGGAGTTCTCCATGTGACCTAAAAGGCGCTTGGAGGAACATGCAGAGACTCCAGCAGCTGCCATAACAGGACGCTTTTGCCAGAAACCCAGTGACCTTAAGAGAACCCTGTGGTAACAGGGCTGGAAAAGAAAGATGGTTTACAGAGTTCACCGCCTGTTACTGGATGGCCATTTCAGTTTTTCCTCCACAGGCGGCAGACTTTACTCCCTTTTTATTATTCTACTGTAACTATAAATCTTTTACTTGGTTTAAGAAAGTTTTTTGTATCATTTTGCTAAAATTATTGGCTTACTTCCCTGTAAAGAACTCTTGCTTTTGTCTGATTTAAAAATGTACAATATAAACAAACCTGAACTGAAAACAATGACTTGAAATTTCTTGTTTAAAAGATTAGTCTGCCAGGGAACATGTAAATGAATCAAAACCATCTGGTGTTATTTAAAAATTGTTTACTTTCATATATAGTCCCATTCTGAGTCGGTTTGCTCGTGAAATTTTTTAAATTGTTAGTTTATTTTACTGTTTGCTATCTTCATTCGCACTGGACATTTAACTTTCTGTGTAACACAAAGGAATTTTTAATACTCGATTGTGATTCATAGAAGAGGAGAACTAAATACCCTGCAGGAGAGTCTTAAGTATGGTAGAGATTGTAATGATGGATTTCTTTTTTGTAAAGAATATGAAGGACAAAGTGAAAGACCGGCATTTGAGAGATTTAGAATTAGAAAGCTTGTTCTGTCTCTCTGTTTAGTTTGGGTGAATGGATACTTTGAAACACTGTTTTTACTGGGAAAATTTTGTTTCCTCTTTTCTGATGTTGGTTAGCTTGGAGGCTATTACAAGTGCAAAACAGACATTGCTGCTGAGTCTTCAGTGAATTTGCATGTTTCCATCAGTATCCACATGTTTATAAATAAATAAATATATTGATTTAGGCCTTCTGTTATATGCCAAGACTTAAAAAAGGAATTCTTAAACAAAAAAAAGAAAAACACAAAAAAAACCCCCCAAACATAGTAACCTATTCTTGCCATAAAATCTTTGAATTTTTACAATTCAGATGCATATTGTATTTAATTCTTAAGTATATTCAACCTGAGTATACCCAGAGTCATTATCTAGGCATGAATGACTCAACATGCTTAGATTGTTGCAGGTATTGGTTATAGAATCTGGGAAATTCCTCATATTGTCTGTTACTGTAAATGGTCTCATAAAAGTACGTGTTCTGTCCTTACAGTACTTGGAACAGTACCAGAACTATTATGACTAAAATTATGGGAAGTTCTATGCTGGAAATTAAAGTATGTACGGAGATTTTGTTTGAACAGTTGGGTATTTTGAGAAATTCTTCCTGCCTGGAGATAAGTCTTAAAGGTATATTTGTCTTCAGATTTTTATGGAGTTTATAGTTTTTGGTTTTTGGTTCTTCTTTTTTGCCCCTTCAAAAGTCCATGTACTAAGTATTACCATTCTTCTTTCAATGTTTTCATAACATTAGCTATTTGCTTGTGTGTACTCTCAGTCAGACTGGGGAAGTGTGTGTTTGAAGAGAGTACAGTGGAAAAGCTTGAGAACTCGATCAATTGATAAGTTTGCGTAAGAGAATTATTTCCTCAGTTACTATAAACTTTAGTATTTTGGGCATGTGCCATTTGAGCAGTTTTACACTTCACTGTGCTTTCCTTGTAAATATCTGTGGTTAATAGTGTAATGTTTGAGGGACTTCAAAAGCAGCCTTTTTATTTCCTATGTATCTAGATCGTTAGATTGCTGTACTATACTTAAAAGTTGACTGCAGACTTCTAGAATTGTACTCACTTGTGGGCAGTTTTTGTCCTCATAATAGTTATATTTCATCATGCAGAAAATAGTTAGACTGTATAAACCTGTGTATAAACCAGTATCTCAAAGCACTTCATTTGTACTACCAGTGTATTTGTGTACTTTAACAGTTGTGTAAATACATTCATAATAACTTCTGTTCTTTGGTGTAACTTACTGACTTGCAATGAATACCTTACCCTATATCTGATGCAACTTTTTTCTTTTTTCTTTCTTCTTTTTTTTCTTCTTTTTTCTTTTTTCAAGGGGTTTCTCTACCTACAAAGAATATTGTCAGTTGAAAACATTTGAGGATACTGTCTTGGTACCAAAACTTTCAGTGAAAGATTTTAGTAGTTATGATCCTGGGGTATACAGGAAGAAAAAGAAAAAGGTAGTTGCTTTGCTCACAGAAAGCATGTCTTTTTGTCAGTTTAAAGGTAAATGGTTTTTTTTGGATACTTCTTTTTTTTCCAGAAGTTTTTTGTTTTGTACAAATGTGTTTGCTTATCAAGTAACGCATGGTATTGATCAGGAAGTATAGTGAGGGAATTGAGATTGGATCAGTTATGGGAGCTAGGATAAAAGCGAGAAAAATAGTGAGCTCTACTCACTGTGCCCTGTATAATAAAACTGTGGCTTTTGCTACGTGATTCTCAAAAGTCTATTATAATCTGATGGTAGACACACTTTCAGGAACCCCCTGTGTTTTCTTATTAGCAGGTCTTTAAAAGTTGGAAGGATATTTTAATTTCTTCTCATGGTTTTCATTTTGAACTGTGTAAATGCTTTTATATGGAAAATACCACCTGTGCTGCTGTTTTACATGATCTTGAATGCTTACAGAGTCTTTGAGTTTTTTGTGGTACAGGTACTAAAAAAAAGTGAAAATAAATCCTCTGAGAGATTTAAGGAGGATCCTTTAAGAGAGAGATATTAAGAGAAAGCATTTGAGTCCATATATTCCATGTTAATTTCATGAAAATATTCCCTTGGAGGAAGGTATGTTGATGAACTCATCATTTCCAGTGTGAAAAAAAAAACATAAGCACAACTGTTTGTCTTTGTTTCCTCATGTCCCAGACTCTTGAATATAGCTAGAGCAGCATACATGTTGATTTCAAGAATATTTAGTTTCTCTTTTAAAATAGTTAAATGAAAATACATTTATTTTGTTCTTCAACTTTTGCTTTACAAAAGCTGCACTTCATGTGTACAAAATACCAAGTAAAAGCAAACAGTGCTGGTTTTTTAATGGTGCTGAGCCATCTGGTCAGACATCAAAATTTAAGCTTTGAGATCTTGAGACGGTGTAATCCATCATGAACTTAATCCTGCAGTAGCTTCTAAAATTCACTGGATGGTACAGGTTAATAATAAAAAGGGTTTACTGTGAAACACAGTACTTTGTTATTAAGAATAGTACATTTCCCTCTGATTCATTCAAGTGACAATTACTGATTTTACATGTATATGTCTTAGATTTAAGTGACTGTATGAACCTGAATTGTGTAGTCTATGTGCATTGTTCAATACTTTTGTATGAGGAGAGTGCTCAGAGGCCTGGTCTTCAGTAAGAATGTGTTTCACAGCAAAACCGTACTGACTTTTTCAGCAGATATTTGCACAGTATCAACACTTTACAACTTCTTAGACGCTGTGTGGGTTTTTTTCTTGCTTAATATTATTAGGACTAGTATGGTTCAGTTCTTCTGTCAAAACCATTGCATGCTGCAGGCGGAGGGGTAGTAGAAAATGAGAGAACTGTACATACAGAACCTACAAAAATATGCATAAAAATGTTATTTTGGACAATTCTTGATCCAAAATGCTAAAGATCTAGGTCTGAGGGGTGTGGGTGTGTGTGTGTGTAGGTGTGTGTGTGTGTAGATGTGTGTATGTATATTTATGTGTATGCCTCATGGACAAAGAATGTGGAAAAGTGGAAAAAGGGACAAATGGTGCAGACCATCCTGAATTATTAAGCCCTAGTCTACAGTGTCTTTGCTGTGACCAATCGAGGATGCTTGGGGTGGATGTGGAACAAAACAAGAATTCATTTGGTACATTATGCACTAGGAAGAAAATGCATAGTCCTGAGCATAACAAGAAAAAAATTTTGCTTGGTTATAGTCCTCAGCTTGGTTCAGACCTGCAAGCATTACAGGCAGAAAGGCAGGCCACAGTTTCTGGTATTTCCCTTAATCCTTAAGGAAAGGGTAAACCAGGATAATTTGAGGTCATGCATAGATCTTTTTCGTAGAAGACCCCAAACAGCAAATGTTCTTCTGCTCTTACAGCCAAAAAAATGTGTTTTGTCTGACACGTCAACAGTGAATCTCAAAGCACATTTTTCAGCAAGACTCAGTCTTTTGCTGTTCAAGAGTTTTAAATACTAAAATCTGGATGTACTTCTTAATTGAGTTCAGAGTTCTATTGTGAAAGGTTTTAAACTGTTGAAGGAGTAGTAAATGAAAAGTCAGAAGAGCAAGAGCTATCCTTGCTTAATGCTCTGAAGTATTTATCTGGGAGTAGTGAGGAAGGCTGCCAGCTGAAATGTTGCTGACGTGACGAAGCAAATACAGAGATCAGTCAAGGAACTAACAGTGTATAACTAGAGGTAAGTACCTTTATACTCCATCTCTAATTTGCCGTCCATTCTCAGACGAATACAGAACTGCTGATATCGCAGACTGTCACCAGTTTCCTGCTGGCACAAAGATGAGCTCTGTCTCAGAAGCATTGAGAAAGCTGCTAAAACAATCCATTCCAAAGCTGTTGGTTCTCAGACAGAGTGCCTCTGCTGTTGCCAAGGTTGTTTACTCTTCCACAAGTAGAAGAGTACTTCCTTCAACAGGTCCAGCAGCAGGGAACAGCTGTGCGACTCAGGTCGAGCCCATTTTCCCCTACAGTGAATGGCCCTACTTCCTTCTTTCAGACTCAGGAAGAGCCAGAGGCAGAGGTAAACTCTGGTTTTCTGTCACAAGTGTGGGCTGACTAAATGTTAATAACTTCTGTCATTTTAGTCCACCCAGTACATTAATTCCTGTAGCAGCATACAGCTTGATTGGGCCGTTGCGGCGGCACAGCATTTGATTACACCTTAAGTCTTGCCAATTTAATTAAACTAGCATAAGAAAGGTAATAATGTATTTATTCAAACATGGGTGTTTATGTAAACTGGACCTATGACCTTTTCAGCGTAGATATATGGAGAAGCTTTTGAAGGTGAGCTCTAGAGATTGCTGAAAGATTTCTTCCCAAAAGATGCTTGGAATTAAGCACAAGTATCAGTCTTCAGATTGCAAAAGATAGATCTTGCTACATTGAAGAGCTTGTAATTTTGCTTCACTTGGATGTAGCCTTGAGATTGATTATACCTTGAGGAGCCAGTCCTAGCTGAGGTACCATAGGAGACTGAAATCCACAACATAAACATATTCCTACACTGTGTTTTCTTAGGAGATTTCAATTCCTAAAGAGCATCACTTGACAGTAAAGACAGCTTGCTGGCATGTTGGTATTCAGAATATTTTGGGCTTTATAAGTCATGACAGTTCATAAAACTTTACCTGCAAACAAAACCTGGAGCACTGTTCAGGGGAGAACATTAATACTTTTTACACAGCGGAGCACAAAATTAATTGCTGTTATTTTTAATTAGATGATGCTTTCAAATAGACTTCAGGATCATTTAGAGCAGAAGCAGATACCCATTTTGGAAATGGCCAAACTGTGAGTCATGGCAAAAGCAGTCCCCTTGCCCACAATAAATTTTGGCTGCCTGTCAGCTAAATGTCAGCTCTTTTCTATAAACACTCTTGTGCCTGTGTAGCTGTTTAATAGGCATGTGCAGATGGAGCCCAGTGTCCATATCGAGGTGTTAATTTTTTCTGCTTATCTTCTCAAACCCACAGTTTTTGACAACCGGATATTTATTCACTACATTTGCAACAGTTTACTAGAAAAGCATAAAAAAAAATCTAAGTATAAATATACACATTACATTAAAGTGCATTAACAAGAAACAAAATGTCATCTTGCACAGAATTGAAGTGCATTCCCATAATCCTAAAAACAAGTGTGGCAAAGAGACACAGATGCACACACACAAGTCAATACTTACCGCTGTAACATGTAAGAGTTTGCATTCTGAAATTCTTCTGTTTATGATTGTCTACCGAACTAAACATTTCCTTTGGGATGTACCAAAGGTGCATATGTGAATTTTGCTTTTTCATTTTGTAGTTTGATTGCTTGATTACAGGAATGTTCTAATTTGTTTTTAAAGAAGGATTCTACATTGTCCAAGATAAGTTTGTGTGGATGGAATTTAATATTAGCACGAGATCTCCCCAGTCCTTTACACCATACCTTCACACCATTTCAATTCTTAACTTTAGGGAGCTGGCTTTGCTTGAAACGGATAGCTGCATCACTTTAAGACTTCTAATTCTGCTGAGGTCTTCTAGGCTTCAAGTGGCTACAAAATATTTAACTTAGAATTTTCAAAAAGGCAAGCTGATCTTTGTATAGGAGGAAGAAAGTAATTTTAACTCTTGCACATTGTCTAATAAATGGGCAAACTCTCTAATCTGTGGGTATTTGGCATGTTTTATATATATATATATACATATATATATATATATACACACGTGTAAATAGGTATGTGCAAACACATGTATACTTTTTTATATATATTCTTTGTGTTTTACTGGCATTTATACACATTTCATCTCTTTGTATCAGGCCCTTATTTTCCTAAGATCCATTACATCACCAATCATACAATATTTTAACCATAAGTCCTATAGTACACAATATGTATGACGATCCAAAATGCTTTAAAAATTTTGCTAGCTTGCAGAGTGAAAGACCATTCACTACTTCGATAGAAATAATCTTTGAAAACTGTCTTTTTGTTTTTAGATTGTTTACTTTCCAGACTTCTTAGATACATTCGTGAACAGTGTGTCTGAAGAAATTACATTTGTTTCAATAGTGTATGATGCAGGAGTAAACTAATATCTTTTGATGCTTGGCAATTCAGTTGCATAATTACTACATTCCCTTCCTTTTCCCTTTTTTCAAATCAAAAAATTTTAATCAGGTATAGGTTGAACAAGGTTCATCTGGGTAGATGTTGTATGAGACTGTTCTGCCTGTGACCCTGAGCAATCAGTGTCTCTTTAGCAGTGCTTTATACCGTCAACCATATACATCCTCAAAATATATGGATGAGTACATCTCGCAGACTGCTCTTAAGGGCATCTCAGTGGTATTGAGATTAAAGAAATGCACTACCAGAATACCTGCAGAAATTTAAAATCAATTCCTTGCTTTTAAATATACAAAATACATATTTTTTTAAATATTTATCAATATATTTAAATATTTACAATAAGCAGAGTTTAATTAAAAAGGAGCCCGGCTGGACAATACTGGGAACCTAAGGACTAGCCACCTGTGGGGTTTAGTTGGGTTGGTTTTGGTTTTGTAACACACAGGGGAGGAAGGAGAGAGGTCTATAAAACAGGAGATCAATGTAAAGGTCTTTGTGGCCATGTCAATAGGAGCAGTTGGGTACATGCTTCAGCACAATCTAGTATAGTGGCCAGAAGGTGTCTAGCCTAGGGATCTGGCATGGAGGTTTGTTCCCATCAGTAAAACAAATCTCTTTCCAAGAAGATAAAGGCAGCTGAACAGAAAGAGGACTGGAGGGCTAGCACACATTTGGGTGTTACCCTTGAATGGGACAGAATGGGAGTAAGGAGCTTAAATGGCTTTAGAATTCTGAAGTCATCTCAAGCCTGCCACTTTTGACGTCGCTAAGAGAGCTGCATTAGGAATTTCTCACCTTTGTATTGATGCTTCTTGTAATTAATTAAAACGATAAAAGATTTTACACTGCTTATATGGCTTTTTAAACTGCTTAGTGAATTCATTTCTAACCCTTTTTTTCCTCACAGTCAATAAAGGAGTCCTGTGATTTGACCACTCCCATTCAGTAAGCATCTCCTGCTGTCATAAATACTGCAAGCCATTGGTAGGTCTGTGCTGAGAACAGCACAAGAGCATTGGCGGTCCCAGTCAGTGATTGATCTTCGAGTTGAAGAAAATAACTTGTATAGGCAAATGAGGCCTTTCTTTGAACACTAGTTTTACTTCTGAGATTATTTGTGGTTTCTTGTTGAGAGAAACATGCCTCCTTGTCTTCCTAACTTCCTCTTCTGTCTCAAATCACATAAAATTACATAAAACTTCTTGTTTCCAACTTAAAGTTTAACTGTAAAAAGTATTATGTATGGAAAATGAAACATAGTCTGGAAAGTCAGTACGATAAGCACAAATGACATTCTGTCACATATAAAGCAGTCCAGACAATTTTCAGAATGTACAGAAACTTAAAATTGTGCCAAAACAATGAGGTCAAAGGATTAACTATTTAGTTCTGTGATAACAGCATAGCATTATCTAGCAAAGAAATCCAGTGATGAAAGCACACAGCAAGACAAAAATGGCTGAGAATCTGAATCCACCTTTGGCAAGGTTTCTAGTTTTTGCTTTTTGAAACAACAGGGAACTCCAGTCTGAAAGTTGCATCAGGCCTTCATTTATCATCTGAAGCAGACTTCAAGGATGTATGCAGATTCCATTTTTCTCTTGCCTTCTGGAGCTATCAGTGTTGTGTTTCAAGTACCAGTTTAGTCTTTAGCAAGCTAGAGCTAAGTTCAGTAAGTAAGCTGTTACAACTGAGAAATGTCATTCACTACAATTGCTACCAATAAATTAATAAAAGACTTTAAAATAATGCACTACATAGGATATAAAAACAATTTATTCTGTGCGGCATCCATTTATTTTGAAAGTTCTGATTCTAACTTTCTGATTTCTGTGCAAGGTTGTCCTAACAATGCAGAAGTATTTTGAAGAAACTTCCGAAATGGAAGCTGGTATCTGAGATAGTTCATTTTGTTTCTGTTTAAAAATTTAAAGGGTACACTGAGTTTTAAGGGATTAGGGTCTTTCAGTTTTCAGTTATTAAGCAGAACAATTTCAGCACTTAAAAGCTAATATTCCTTTGCTACTACGAAGAAAACAGAATACCAGTTAGTCTGTTTGGAAGATTGTTACTGCAGTCACTAAGCCTAGACAGCAACCCAGTTTTCAGAGGTGGGATGCAGTAGCATGATTTTAAATTTAAAAAATCACATTTCTTGAGTGGTTTTGAGTGGAAAAAAAAAAATTAGAATGCTTTCCTTTTGCCTTCCTTTTCTATTCAGTACCGTGCCATCATAAAAATAATGAACAGTTCTATCATGTTTCCTCAAACAGCAAGAATGGCACTTTGAACTTCCTTAGATTAAGCCAAAGGGTGGGGAAGTGGGTTAAATGTGGAAGAAAAAAACCTCAAAACCAAACACATTAAAACCTTCCCATGATGCTAACATTGCATTTTATCAATGACTAGAATGTTTCAAAGTAGTTCAGTCTCTTCCCTAAGTCTACCCGCTCTATAGGTCGTCTGGAAACTTGCACCATTTCATTTATATGCAAAATGGACACTTGCTCAGAATATTCTACTAAACCTAATAATCATCTTCTCCATGTTACTTGTAACACTCTACAATGCTCTACAGAAATTTTACTGTAAACAGTGTATGGAATTGTGAGCTAATTTTCTTTGCTTGAGGTTAGTCAGGATCCATTCTGCTCATTTTCTTTTAGTGCTACCCTGGAATATCACTTGTGTGATCTGCTAAGGACACTATCTGTAATGTGCCTTTCTAAAAACAGGATTTCCAGATGATAATTGCAAAGATTACAGGTTTCGGCAGAAGTGCATTTACATAAATCAAAGTTACAGATATTATCAAAATTAAATTCGGGCTGAGCCAATTAATCTAAAAAATCTAAAAAGGTAAGAAATTCAAAAATCTAATGAAGACCTTTAAGTTCCTGAGATTTTTATCCATCTCAAACTTTTCCCTTCACAGAGAACATAGGTAAATTATATTTAGTCACACAACACAGCAATTTCATCAATATTGTCTCAAAACATACATATAATTCCACTTTTCTTAAAATACGCTTTTCCTGTATCTTCCAAGTGAGCAGTTTCTGGTGCATAGCAAGAGCCTACTTGTGTTCATAAAAGCTTTTTAGTTTACATAAAATGTATAACCACAATGTTCCACCTTTTAGTGATAAAGCTAATTTTCCAGTAAGATAATGTCTAGATGATCAGCTTCCAAAGAGACATGGTAAGCTGACTAGCTCCCAGTTACTAAAGCAGATTGCCCAGCCCTAAACTATTTCTGTTTCTAAAATAAATAGTGTTGAAAATCTTTCTTTTCTAAATACTTTTCGGTTGCTTGTCATGCTCACACACATGTTTCTGGGTTGGTTACAACTTCGCCATTTTTTTCAGGCTCATCTTTCAGAAACTGCTCCACTTCAATAGAGTCCACCTTGGCATCTTCAGGAGTTTTTTCAGATTTGTTTAATTCCTCTCTTTCTGACGCTTCTTCTTTTGCATGTGGTTCTTCTAATTTTTTCTTAATGCAGAAGAAATTTCCCAAGGCCAATACAAGGGCTGAGGTGGTAACTTCAATTCCAGCAATAATGAAAACAAACATGTACCTCCCTGTTGCATCCAGGAGTTTTCCTGAAAAAGACAACATTGCAGGTAATTAACAAAAGTGATTATCTTGCAGTGAATATTTTTCTACTCTTTTAGAACATTTTGACTCTCCTGTCCAGAATCACCATGACTCCCTAACCGAGTTTTTTGAAATAGGATTTAAACAAGTTATAACAAAATATTTCTCGATTATTTCAGTTCAGTTTAACAGTCATTGACATTACACGACATCCCAAAACACATACACAGAGGCGTGCCGTTCATCTGAAATAAAATCAGCCTTGCCTTCGGATGCAAGAGATCACACGTACTTCAGATAAAAATGTGTGCATCCATGGATGGGATCTGTATCATCTGTATCGTGATCTGATCATCATTATCCTCTTGGTCCCAGTCTCAGTTATCTTTCTACATGGGCAGTGCACTGTCTGCTTAAAATGCAAATCTTATTCAATAGTCAGTCTGGAGTAACTGACTGATTCTGACACTGGTAAAGGTAAATTTTCACAGGACTTGATGGATATGGAAGAACAGGTGGGAGGATATGAAGGAAGTGCCTTTTCAAACCTGAAGATCAGAGGAAGTAGTGCATAGTACTGGTTTACCCATGAAGGGGCTTCTGTCAAAATAAAGATACTTGATGTTTTTAGTGTCTGGTATAAAGAGTAAACATTTTATGGCAGTGATCTGGTGGGTTTTGGGAGTGTGTTTCAGTTCAGAGTCTGTAACATGTATGTGCTTTGATTAGTCATTAATCTGTATTTTGACTTCAAATTAATGAATTTTACTATTTTGTCAGGTCCCTTATTCTTGGGTTGTAAGACCTGCAACAGAGGCACTGTACCTTCCTTAAATCAGTCCTATTTTATAGTCCTTGTAAGATTTTTTTCTTCTTTCAGATGTTTTCTTTCCTCCCCCAAATCTACCATGGATCTAGAGAATGTATCCTAATATTTCCCAAAGGAAATTGACATATCTCATATTCTGAATCCCAGTCAGCTGTCTACCAATAAGAAGTTGAGTGCAGGCTTTCAGAGCAGAAATAGCAGCACCTCCAGATGGCAATTTAACCAGTCCTGAAACAGATCCAAGAAATAAAAAGTTCATTCCATCCCTTCTTGGACTATTTCAGAGTGTAACTACATAAAGCCTTTGAAACATGTGCAGCACAATCTGCATTTCTCAAGTGACTCGCATCTTTTTCTCAGCTCCCTTATATTTTGTGAAAATGAATGCAATGCCCACAAATTTAAATTCTGAACTAAATGGCACACTTGCCTGCTGATGGTGGACCAATCAGAACAGCCACAGCTTCTGCCAGGAGCACTAAACCAATAGCACTGGAAAACTTCTGAGTGCCAACGATAGCCATGAGGACTTCAAACTGAAGAGCACCTACCATTCCATAAGAAATGCCAAAGAAAATGCAAAAGACCACCAGTCCACCATAATCAACAGACATAGAACCCATGAGATCAGTAAAGCCATTAAAAATCATAGCAAAACTGAAGAGGTAGACGCAGCGTGGTCTAACCCATTTAAGACCGGCTACCATTCCACAGATTGGGCGAGCAAAGATATCAATGAATCCCAGAATAGTCAGAAGAAAAGCTGCTTTGGTGTCTTGATACCCTAAATCCTTGGCATAACTCACAACAAACACTGGGGGAACGAAGAGACCAAGCACCATGATAGATGCTGCTAGCGTATAGATTACAAAACCACCATCTTTAAACACACTGAAATCCAGAAGTTTTTTCTTCACTTTCTTCTCAGCTGGCTCTTTGGTAGCTTCAGCCTTTTTGGGTGGCTCCAAAGGTCTCATCAGTGCACCACATACACAGCAGTTGAGCAGCATCCCACCCAGGATAAGGAATCCTCCTCTCCAACCATACTCATGTTGTAGTATCTGCCCCAACGGTGAGAGAGCACAAAGAAACACTGGACTCCCAGCAGCAGATAGCCCATTGGCTAAGGGCCGGCGTTTGTCAAAGTAACGGTTTAACATGATGAGCGAAGGCTGAAAGTTTAGTGCCAAACCCAAACCTGTAGCAGAGGGTACATAAAAATTAATACTGGCCTACAATATCACTGTTAAAGATACTCTAATTACAGTTTTTCTGAATTGTGACTTAAGAGAAAATAATTTTATTCTAAATGGACAAAAGAATCCTAAGGTAACACATAGTATTCTTTTCCTTTATGATTACACTTTGAGTTATTAAATATTCATAACAAAAATAAATTACCTCTTAATCCCACATTTATCTGACATCTTTATAAAAGGCTGGGTGTTCCTGATGCTTCAGGTATTTTTCACTTACACAAAACTTCAAAGCCAAGACCTAATTTAACTCATTTTCCATAATTCATAGTACTTACCAGTAATCACACCTGCAGTTAGATAGATCTGAACGATGCTTGTGCAGAAGGAAGCTATCACCATCCCCATTGAGGCAAAAAGGCCACCCACTAGCATGACAGGGCGACAACCAAAGCGATTGACGCATACACTACAAAGTGGACCTAGGCAAGAAAAGCAGATCACAGTTGCTAAGATAAACCAACTTTTGCAACTTATTTTATGACACTTTGTATTTCTTTGGTGGACTTCAAAGTGTAAAGTTCATGGTTAGAATCAATGATTTTTAAGGTCTAAGGTCTTTCCAACCGCACTAATTCTGACTCATTTTGAACTTTGTCCATACAGTCAAGCCAATCAGGAAAAACGTCCTTTCCTCTGTAGTCAAATACTTCAATCTTTTTTGTCTTCAGAGTGCCTTGTGATTTTTCTTTTTCATCATCTTTAGCGACTACTGAGTTACAGAGACATAATTTTATATCCAAGATGGATGGACTTAAATAATCTTTTAATTTATGTGATTAATAGTAATTCTTTTTGCCTTACTTGCACACAAGTCATGATACACACTGTAAATGGCAGTAAGATTTACAAATTTAATTGTATGACACAATACTGTTTCAAAACCAGGTAACTACTCACCTGTTCCATAAAGCATGGCCAACAGAATGGAGGAAATCCATGCAGTGTCACTATATCCAATGCCAAATTCCCGAATAAGTTCTTTAAAGAAGACGCTAACTGCCTTGGGAAAGGCATAGGAGAATCCTGTGATGATAAAACAGCCAAAAAGGACAGCCCAGCCCCAGCCTCCATCGGGGGCTTTAACACCTGATGGACCATCATCAGCTACTACAGCTCCCATGATGAAGAAGCTTGTGTGTTCCCTAAGAAACAAAAAGCAATTAGTATCTATAAAATTGCGCTAACAGTAAAACTAAGGCATGGAACTACTTAAAAGTCTTGAAGATGCAGTGCAATTTTAACTATTCCTCGTTTGGGTTTAGCTCTTACAAAGCTTGCAAAAATACATGAAAATGAGATGCACACAGCTGAGTTTTAAATGAATGGCCCCTCACAGCTCTCAAAGTCAGAGCTAGATTTCATCCAAATCACTGTTTCATAAAAAAACCTGAAGCCATAACAGCACTTCAGGGGTATATCTGACTTTCACAGATATGTAATAATTACTGCATTGAAGTTTGCAGGATGTTTTATATAAAACCTTGTTACATGAAGCTCCTGGCCTATTCACTTAAGAGACCTGGTGCATCACAAGTGTTCTGTGAAACGGTGGACTAATCACACAGATTTTTTTATTGCCCACTGAGGACAGCAGTACAGTGCTGATACACTGTTATCTTGAAAAGATAGAAAGATCCCTTTGAGATGATGATGAAATAACATTTTTCACACATCAAGTAAGTTCGTAAACTGCAGTGAAGATCTCCATGAGCCAATTTTGTGGATGCTGGGACTTAGTAACTGCAGCAATGCTCCATACAACTGTAATTTGCCTGAAGCAAGTGTTTTCCATTGTTTTTATTACATGATCAGTAAGAAAAAGTAGTATTTAATGAATCATATTTTTCACATTTTCTGTATGCATCCATAAGCATCTTTGCATCTAAACATTGAAACCTTTGCTCATGATAATGTTGCATTCTAGGCAGTAATGCTGACAGGTTTTAAAAGGGAGACATGGGGTAAATAAGACACTGAAAAGGCACATAAAGTGTCCCTGTATGTGAGGAGTGCATGGTGTTACTGCATCACATCTAGTTTTTTTGTAGGATCTGTGTTCTACACAAGTCTTGAAATGTCAAAGTGACCTACAAGCAAGGATCATTAAACATTAAATCTTAACGTGTACAAAACTGCACTTTAAAGTGCAATTGACTGTATCAGTGTTTCTCTTCAGTGGTATCTAGAAGAGGAGAGCAAGTACAGCTGCACACAAGTAAAGAATGCTTCTGCTTTCAACAGTTACAGGCCTGCACAGCGATTGTTGTAAGTTGGGAGCAGTGCAATTCTTAAAAGCTCCGTTTCAGAGCCAGGCTATATATGACACAACAATCTCATGCAGACTTGTCTAGACAGCTGAGCATCAAATGCGTGATTGTTAATGGGCCAGTATGGATGTACTTAATATGATACTTAGACCAGCACTCCCACTTCTTGTAAGAAACAACTTTGTATACATGATACAGAAATAAATCTGGCCATGACTGTGGTTGTTCTAATGCCCTGGCCTGCATGACGACAGTAAGCCTCACACTTTTGGATTTACCTCTTGTTTTCTGGAAATCAAATATAAACAGAAAGCAATTTCTCCTAAGTCCAAACAACTAGAACATAAAATACTTTAACAAGAAGGGAAACAGAATACCTCCACAAAACTACTCATTGAGGTGTCTGGCTACAGATGGCTCATTTGCTGATTGCTGTGAGAGTATGTAAAAATGTACAGCTTGGTAGACTCAGCAATTTCTGCAGCAGGCTTTGAGTTGCTAAATGACAATCTTAAGATGTATCTCTGCCAAGACTCCTAACACTTCTATCTGTCCACCCTTTGAAACTCTTTTTTCCCAGTAGCTTTTGTTTGACACAAGGTATAAAACATTCTTCAAATAAGAGTTGCTTTTTTAAAGCAATAGCTAGACAGCACAGAGCAGGTGCACAAAGGATAATCCCTGTGACAGTGGCAACTCTGTAATATTAATGACAACAAGGGAAATGCTGACAGAAGTATCTCAGCTCAAATGTATAAAGAATAGGAATAAGATGTAAAATTGGAGCACTGCAGGGGGTAGGAAGCATTATTACTGCCACTACCAAGCTGTCAGAATATTTCATTTGGAGTGAAGGTTTAAAATGTTGGGGGAAGGGTTGGGGAGTTTTTGTTCATTTCTATTACCCATCTAATAGCAACACAAAGTTAGTAATAATATATGAGCATGCTTTGTTGAAAAATAGCAACTGGCAGTCTCTCCAGACTGCTTATACTGTGCTGGATGGGGACATTCAGTGCCTTAAGGCATTCATCTCTGCACACAGGCTGGGACAGTTTATTGAGTCTACGGCCAAGTTGTTGTAAGGGCAGCCTCTGCAAGCCTAGAGTGCTGAACCCCCACGGCAAAGTACATCCACGCCATATGAAGCGGCGAGTGGCTTTGAATAGAAACACCGTTAAGAACTACTTGGCAGCACGCTTGTTCCTTCCAGAAGAGAACTGTCCGAGGTTTTCGGGGGGACAGACAGAAGTCAACTCTTGGCACCCGGCACACCAAGCCCGGTGCGGGCGCGGCTCGGAGGAAGACCCGGTTCCCTCACCCCCTCTCCGACCCTCTGGGCGGGGCTGCACGAGCCACTGCCGCCCGCGGCCCCGCGTGACCCCGCGCGGCGGTGCCCCAGCAGGGCGCGCGCGGGCGGCCGCCGCACTGAGACGTGCGGGACGTGACTCGCGCGGGGGGCGGGCGCTGCCCGCGAGTTGCGCGCGCGGCGCGGGCGGAGCCGGGGCCGCACCCCCGCCCAGCGCTCGCAACCGCCGTTGCCGGAGCCCGGTGCTCCCACAGGAGAGGGGAAACCTCCTTCTTCCTGGCCTTTCTTGAGCTCTTCCATGCCAAGCAAATCAAAGTCAGCCTGTAAGAGACACATTCTCTTGCATCTGCCTTACGGAACTCACCATCTTTGCCATGAGTAACAGTCTCTAAAAAGGTTTTACGTTTTGCTGTGATGAAAGAGCTAGACTTGCTGATGTGAGGGAACCTGGCCTACTTTCCAGCATTTCATTAAAATGGGCCTACAAGGAAATGCACAGTAATATCCATTTACCCTTCTTTACATCATGTCTACTACCACATTTGGCTAAAAATCACCATAAACTGGCACACCAGATCTTCAAGTGCCATATTTTTAAGAGTGGTTCACATTTGCACATGCATGCATCAAAAATAGCTCTCTTAAAGGGAAAGGCTGAGAGAATTCAGATTGTTCAGCCTGCATAAGAGGATGCTCTGGGGAAACCTTACTGTACCTTTTCAGTGCCTGAAGTGCCTACAAGAACGCTGGAGAGGGACTTATTACAAGGGCATGTAGTGATAGAACATGGTGGAATGGCTTCAAACTTCCAGTAGGTTTATATTGGGTATTAGGAAGAAATTCTTTAGTGTGAGGGTGATGAGAACCTGGCAAAGGTTGCTCAGAGAAGCTGTGGCTGTCCCATCCCTGGAAGAGTTCCAGGCCAGGTTGGACAGGGTTTGGAGCAACCTGGCCTAATGGAAGGTGTTCCTGCCCACAGCGGCGGGTTGAAACAAGATTAAGATTTCTTCCAACCCAAACCACTCTATGATTCCACAATCGGTGTTACACATCTGGTTTTGTCCATTGGTTGTTCATGTTAACACATCAAAATCAAAAGACCATGAACCAGAAGTAAATGAACCTTGTCTCCATAAACACAGCAAGGATGCCCTTCATCCTGCTGTGGTGTGCCTTACTTAGCTAAGACTGTATTCACCTCCTTAAGAAATAATAATGCGGAGGTTCCCCCATTATTATGTACAAATGAGAAAAGGCAGGCTTGTGGTTGATCTGCACAGGCAAAATTTTAGGATTTGTCTACAGTGCTGGGATGCTATCAAAGCCTGCTAAGACAGGAGGCTGCTGTCTAACTATTGCAACAGCTTGCTTTGCTTTCTGCTTTTGCTAGTTCAGCCCTATTTAGAGGCAAAGGATTACATTTAACTGGCTGTGGCTCGGTTTCATGTCTCCACAGCAGACATGATAGCATTTCTTCCAGATTACTTCTACCATGCATGTGCTCTTGCTTTGGTAATGTGTAAAACAAAGGTAGCATCTGGGGAGTCATCTTCCTGATATTATCTTCTTGTTGTCATGGAAACTAATATAGACTCAGTTAGGAGGAAATATTAGGTAGCATTGTGGGTGGTGTAATGATGTGGTTTCTGGGATGATGTATATAAAAGAAGAATATTTGTATTATAAAAAGGAGCAGCTAGAAATGGCAAGAATCTATTATTTGTGTTTAGCCAGTACTCTTATTGGCAACATAGCTGTACTTCATGGTCAGGGCATTTATGTGCATGTACACTGACCTATATAGCTTGAGAACTTCCTGTTCTCAAGAAGAATTAATTTCAAGAATTCTCAAGAATAATTATTTTTTCTAACTGTGGCTGGAATCTACACAACCTTGAATTTCTATGATACAAATAAAAGATGGTTGTCAAAAATAGAACATAATCTTCCAAGCAGGGAACCAATTTCAGCCTAGACTTCAGTCTGGAGCCCCACCCTCTTGGGAAATGTGTAACTACAAAATAAGGAAGATGGTCTAAGCTGAGCAATGTAGACATCCTCCCTCAGGTTTTTTATATGTGAAACAAACTAATTCTCTCTTCATAAGGTGTTGGGGGTATGAATACTTTGAAAAGCATAGGCTGCTCAATACTGTGTTCATAGGATTTATAAACCTCCTGTATTTGTCCAAGGGTATTAAAACCTAAGCAGACTGAACAATATATGCATGTTATTCTTGGTTTTTAGTTAGGATTCCTACGACTAACCAACTCTACTGAAAATTTTCAGGAAATGATTCCTGAAAAAATATTTTTATTTTAATAATTCTCCGGATCCTTAGGACAGCCCTCAACGTATAGAGCAACTACCCTTTGTATTGACATGACTGACATCTGCCTGTTCAGCATTACTTTAACTCCTTCCTGATTCTCTAAAATACAAATGAATATATCTTTAAACCAGATTTTATTACAACTCAGGTACCTGAGATAAGCCATTTAGATGGTATAACCCACTAGTGCATTTCCTGGGGCTTACCTGCTTAAATATTAGCCAGTTTAATTATATGTTCATTCCAAAGGCTGCTGCAAACTTCTGTTCCCTACAAAATCATTACCATATTTACCAATGCCTATCCTGTTCTCCCTGGAAGGCCCCACAGTGACTGCCACTGTCCTATTTTGTCCTCTTCCATTTCAACTGAGACAGTTTTCCGGATCTGCTGACTTTCTTAAGGGTTTTCCCCATTCTCTCATCTCCCTCTCAGAACTCCTAGGGATAATTCTGTGCTGTGCTGTCTGTAGCTGCAAGTGATGTTCCTTACCAAATCTTGACTATTAATCATTCTCCAGTATCCATTTAGCCTCTAAACATCTTAACTGTTCACTGCTGCTGCACAGTAACATTCATCACAAGTTATTAGTAGACCGCACTGACAGTAAATTCACACTGCAATTTTATATGTGTAGAAGATACCACTCACCAGTCTAAATTCTATTATATTATCTGGGTAAAGTGCTCTATAGGGAAAGTTGTGACAATTTAGTTGCTTGTTTTGTTTTATATCATGAAAATGTTAGAACCCTGCTCTCTATATTATTTGGGAAAACAAATACACTAGCCCTATTACAATTGCATTGTTAACCTCCAGAGTTATTGTATCTGTATCAAATGCCCAGTTTTTGGAGAAGTGGATTTATTTTGCTGAAAGTGTGTGGGTTTTTTACACCACATCCATTACTGTAAGTTCTTACTGTCACCATCACAGAAGCACCTTAATACCAGAGAGCATATGCCTTTTCCGTGTTCACAGAAAAGTGACAAACATGCCTTCAGTTGTATTGCAATTATTTGACTGTTTTCCATATGCTTTCAAAAATATAAGTTGCAGAATCCCAACTTCAGTTAGTATCATGAAAATTAATTTGAGCCCTGCAGCTATGATGGCTTCACAATGTGTTGAAGCTTTAGAAAAACAGAAATGCTTGACAATTGCTTATATTGGAGAAGTGTCTTTGTATTGTTTAGTTCAAAACCAAAAAGTGACAGAGCTAGATAAATACTAATTAAGGGTCTAGTCCTGTCACCAGCTGGGTATCTGTGCTTATTTTTGCAGAATACCATGGAACTACTCTAATATATAAAGTGCTCACATACACATGCACTGTATCTCGATCTAGGTGAGCACATGTAGCTGAATATAGTGAGAAAAGATCGTCTGGCTCAGAGGTGTCTGGCTCAGAGGTGTCATTTTACACAATCATATTGGACAGTGCAGCTGCATAGTAGGGCGTCATACATTGAGATATGTGAATTGCCACTACAGTCACAATTTAAAATGCCACTTTTTATTTCTATAATATACCTTGAGTTATACTTCTGACTGAACCACAAGAGGTGTACTGTACTAATAGATTCTGGTTTACGTTTTAAAACGGCTACACACTACTTCCTCTGAAATAAACACTGCAAAACCGTACAGGACTTTACTCTGTTACATCCTAAACTGAACGGTTTGCCCAAAATGAGTGCATTTCCACTAGTGCTAACGGTCAGCGCCTAGTGAGGAAGCTTGAATTACTGAAATTCAACTCCACCTTTGTGCGCTTTTTCTGCTCTCCACAGAATTGCTCAGAAGGCAAGCCGCAGACCCCTCCAGGTGGATTGCGAGCAGCATCAAAAAAAGGCTCTTTCCCAAGAGATGGAGAGGGGCTGCGGCAGCCGCCACGCGGGAGGGGCTGGGAGGGGGGAGAGGGGTCGGGAATACAGTGGTGGCGGTCGCGACGTCGCCCCGGCCACGATCGCTCGCGCGGCGCTCCGGGGCGGGCACGTAGCCCGCGCAGCCCTCAGCCGAGACGGCTCCCGCGGAGTGCTCGGGTCGCCGCCGCAGCCGATGCTCACGCAGACCAGGAAGACGCCGCGCGATTCCGTGCCCGGGCGCCCCACCGTTCTTGGTATGCTTGCTGAACCGAGTAACGGAGTTCATGCCCGGGGCTGCGATGATGTCCTTATGAGGGAACGGTCCCTCAGACTGCTCGCCGCTCGCTCTGACGGACCTGAATGCTCACCGCCATGACAAAGAACTCCGAAATTCACCTCCCGGGGGCTCGACACTGCAACAGGAGGTGAGCACTAGCGAAAGGACCGCGCAGACGAGGCTTTCGCGGAGACCCCCAGTAACGGTGTGAGGCCACAAATGGCGGAAACAAAGCCCGAGCTCGCGGGTGTCCTACGAACCACCAGAGTGGCAATGTACGTGCCCTCGGGCCGGCGGCACTACGCGCCTAGGCGTGACCCGTCTGCCAGAGGGAAAGCCGGAGGCAGCGCTGTCTCGTAGCAGGCGGAGCGGTGCTCGGTGGCCAGCACCGCTCAGCGCCCGGACAGCGCTTTCAGGCCGGCGGAGCTGGGAACGTTGGGAGACCCACACGGCAACACGGGTTTCCCGACGAGGAGTTGCGCTCGCGTGGCCCCATGAGCGACGAGAAACGCAGCAGGCGGGACGGCGCCCCGCCGACCCTCGTGGGGTGGTGCCAAGGGGTGCGAGAACAGTCGGCGTCGCGTCCACGTCCCCACCGGCGCCCAGCGCAGCCTCTGGGCAAGGGATGAAGCCGCGACTCCTACGCCGCGCTTTGCCCAAAGCTTGGGCGGCGCTCGGGCACATCCGCTGGCCCGAAGACCCCTACGCAGAGAAGCACCCTCGGTCAGCCCGGCGTTCTGGATTCGGCTCACCCGGCTCCGGACCCCCCACGTCGCGCTCCCCACGGCGTTTGTCCGCATGCACCAGTCAAGCACTTCGCAACATCGCGCACGACGCCTCCGCCTCAGTACCTGAGTCACGTTCCGCGCCTCAGCGTGAGGATGCCCGTGCTCGCGCCGGACCGCAGCTCGCTGTCCCCGTGTGCCCACGCAGACCCGCCCCAGCCCGTCTGGTCCCGCCGACTGGGGAGCGCTCCCGCGCGGCGGGTCTGTCGCTGCTCGCCCCGCCCTGCCACGCGGGGCGCGCCCTGGGTCCTATCGCCGCCGCGGTGACTCTCCCTCCGCTACAGGTTCATCCGCGCAGGGGCCACGGCAGCGCGCAGCTCAGCTCCGCCGGCGGCAGCTCGGAGCGGGGCCCCGGGGCCTCACAAGGCATCAGCTCGAGCTTTGCGCTGCTTGCGTAGAGTGCACCGCAGGGCCGGATCATGCCGGCGTGGATGCTACACTGTCTGTCCGAAGGAACAGGACCTGAGCAGTGGACTTCAACTAATGAATGAGTTTCTGCGGTTGAGGTGTGTTCTGTGCTGCAGTTTCTGTTTTCCCGGGAGCAATCACAGTTTCTTCATTGTCTCCTCCCATGAGAATTACTCTTACAAGCTTCCTTGCTTCGCTGTTTTATTCTTAGTAATTTTGAGCATGATATTGTGCATTCCATACACAGCCCTCAGAGTTGCCTTCTCATCCTTTACCAAAGGAGCATTCCCTGCAAATGTGATTTCATGGTATACTCCTTTTGCATCAGGATGGAATGAGCTTTCTGCATTAATCTCTTGTGACTCAACTGCGATTCATACAAATGCTGAATTATAAAACTGAGTGTGTGCTGATATTTAGCATCTATGAAAGTTGTGGTGGGATTCTCAAATGCACTACAGAAAGTAGCACTCCTATGGCTACCTGGGGCTTAGGAAATTCAGGAGCAGGTGCTCAGCTCATTTGTGTGTTTCTAGCACACAATCCAGTATGTAGGGGAGTGACACCTCACTTTAAATCCTGTGTTCAGTTTTCAGCCCCTCACAACAAGACAAGACATTGAGTGGCTGGAACATGTCCAGAGAAGTGCAACAGAGAGAGCTAGGGAAGGGTCTAGAGCACAAGTCTGATGGACAGTAGCTGAGGGAGCTGGAGAGACTCAGCCTGGAGAAAAAGAGGCTCAGGGGACACCTTATCACTCTCTACAACTACCTGAAAGGGGATTGTACCAAAGTGGTCGTATGTCTCTTCTCCCAGGTAACAAGTGATAGAACAAGAGAAAATGGCCTCAAGTTGTGCCAGGGGATCTTTAGATTGGATATTGGGAAAAATCTCTTCTCCAAATGGGTTGCCAAGCACTGGAATGGCATATCCAGGGAAGTGATGGAGTCACCATCCCTGGAGGTTAACAGCTGAACTCGATGATCTTGGAAAAAAATATTTTCCAATCTAAATGATTCTGTGATTCCTATCACCTATGTGGAGATACACAGGGGTAGTGTTCTAAATAGAAGAGGGTAGGTAGGATACAATATTGTCTTTTGAGAACTATGATATTGCACAGATTAGTAGCTTCCAATATTTTAAAACCTACTTAGTGAAATCATGTAATACCAAGGCAGGAACTGAAGCTCTTTTAATGACTTAGAAGCTTTTTCTTTTCCTTGCGCACTATGTTTGCACTGGTTATTCGTTCAGTTTTGCTGAAGTATAGTACCCATGTGTACATGCTTAAGGATTCATTGCACTAAAGTGTGAAGATGAAGAAGGCCACGTGGTTTATTTTGAGTAGGTAACATACAGCCAATAAGACTGCTAATCTTAATGACTAGTAAAACCAGTTTTTGACTGTCCACTATTATCTGAAATTAGGCCATTCACTTGCAGATTAGGTGTATTCAGGTTGCAGCATCAATCCCCGAATTGACATTGTGTAGACTCTAATCTTGTTTACTCACCATTAAAGTTTATTTGTTTGGGGCACTATTGAATCACTAGAAGTCACCAATTACTCATTTGTAATATGCATTTAACTACATGACTAGGGGCTGATTGAAGGTACATTGGAGAAGATGACAAGTAATTTGAAAGGGGAGGAAGGGGTGAGGAAGGGTTGCAAAAGATAATGCAGTTGATAGGTTAGACAATGGCTAATATAAAGATGTATCAGCTGTCAGAATGGCGTAGGGATTTAGACATTCGCCTATTATGTACTGATTCTGATGAGTGCTCTGAGGGGCCCCCTGCAGAATATAAATTATGCTGGGACCTGCACTATAATTTCTGTGTGTTCAGATGTAGAAAATAATTTGAAGTCATATACCATTGTATTTTAAACCAGAGGTGATTCATATAAATAAATGAACTAAATCCCTTTAATAATTGCAGTATTCTGAAATTATAATTAGCTAAATGGAACTTGCTTTATTTCAAAAGTCAAATTGTTAGTTCAGATTCTAATTTTCATTAATAGTTACTGGTGAAAATAAACCCCTTCTTTCTTTAAATGGTATGGGGCTAGGACACAAAACTCTCTTCTGATGACATAAGGAAAAATATGTAGGAACTACTGATAATACTCTATCTTCTCTAAGTTAGTGTACTTCAGGTATCATTTGGGTGCAGCATTCAAGTTTCTGGAAAGCAAAAGCTGTTTGTATGATCTAGAAAAACAGTAAAGTGACAGAACATTACAGGAAGTTTGCCTCGTGACTTCCAGACAAGCAAGTCATGTATAGTGACTAAGGGAAAATCATGCTTTTGGCCTGCTTCTTGTGTTACATCTTCCTCTGTCTCACCCAGACAGTGTAAGGCAGTTTAGTTGATGGAGACAATTTTTAATAATTAAATGCCTTGGTAGCAGAATGTATTTATCTGCTCTGCAAGACCTCGTGTTGCAGTTGGCCTGAGTTTGTTTTACAAGCTTTTTAAAGTTTTTCACATGATGCAGTGGGAGTTCGGAGAGGATGGGAAGTTTGTTCACACCCCTAGCGGCTGTATTTACTTGAATGGGGGCAAGCGTCTCCTTCCTGACCTGCGCCAAGAAGAAATTGTTTAATACTAAACAGTTGGATAAACAAAATGTATAGGAAGATACATGAACGAGAGAGTGAGATCTGAGAGAATGGGACAAGTACTGGCTGTGTTTCGGGAGAAAGGGGTCTTACTAAACGAAGCAGGGGCTGCAAAGGAACGTGCCCGTGCTCACACGGTGCAGAGAAGAGGCCGCTGCGTGAGAGTAGTGAGGTTGGAACGGGGAGAATGTGAGGAGGAGAGAATACGCTGCCGGGTTCCTGGAAGTGAATGCAATGCGAGGAACTAAGAAACGCCAGCTCGTTGAGCCGGAGAGGAGACGGACGGGGCCAGGCGCTGCCTCCGGGGGCGAGGGCCGGAGAGGAGGCGGCTCGCCATCGCGAGGGGGCGGAGCGGCAGCGGCCCTCTAACGGTGGCGCCGCGGGCCCCACGGAGACGGGCCCGCCCGCCGGCCCGGGCCCGCCCGCCGCGGCGCTCCGGAGAGACGCGGCCTACAGCCGTGAGCGGAGGGTTGTGCAGGTTCGTGGCGCCTGGAGGCGACTCGCGGCTGGGCTGCTCCATCAGAAGGCAGTGCGGTCGCACAGCATCGCGTTGTGCTTCGGAGCTCCCGACCCGTCGCCTGCGCATCTCGCGTCCTTTTCTCTGGGGACCCACTGGCTTTCTGCACCCTTCCTGCTAAGTGCTCTCTCTTGTGCTGTCCCTGAGTCCAAAGCATTATCTTGTGCTCCTCTCTGCTGCCTTCATCTAACAGGTTTAACCTCGGCAGTCTGCCTGCCATCTGCTCTTCTGCCTCAGCATCTGACCCTCAGGGCCTTCCATGGAATCCTTCCTTGTGGGCTCTGCTTCCTGCCAGCCGGTCGTTCGGTTGGTAGTGTTGTCTTTTGCCGACACTCGTCTGTCTTTTCCTCCTTCTGTGCACTTAAAATTTAGTTAATCTTTTAAACTGTGGTAGCCACCTGGTGCATTTGGAACAACTGTAACTGAAAGTGTGGTACAGAAAAAGCAGATCTTTCAGTGTTGCATGTTATAGGCAGGGAGGCAGTACTGTTCATGAATATCCACGATAGTGACTTTTTAAAAAGTCATCTGCTTCTCCTTACCCAAATGAAGAAGATATTACTTACACTATCTGTGCATGGTAGCATGATTTGAACATTGCCAACAGGAATCAGAATATGAAGAGAAAACACTATTTTAATTAACTTAAGGATAAATGTGAAATCTTGGCCAGCAGAATTGAAAGACCATCAGATCACTGTGTCCTTTAGCATGGTTTATATACTGTAAAGTATATCTGGGAAGAGCAAGCTTGAAATTTTTTATACTTCTCACATCCAACGATCAGTGACTCATTTTTTGATCCTAGAGAACCAGACTTGTCTAGATTGTTTGTGAAGAAAAACGTTATTTAAATTATGACATCCTTTAGCATAGAGATATTGCATAGCATTTTCTGGTCTGAAAATCTCTTTTTCATTTAAAGAGATTAAAGAGCCACTATTTGAAAGGCATTGTCTGATTTGTTCTCTGCATCCCTGTGCTTATTCAGAAGGGATTATCTGCAACCAGTGACACAGAATAATACTGTACAGTGAGAGAAGCTATATTGACTCCAGAGATTTTCCCAAATCTCTAGAGAGAGAAGAACATAAATAATAATTTTGTTTTCTAAAAGCATCTATACTGCTTAAAAACAATGTTGTTTTTTTTCTTCTACAGAATTTAAAACTAGATATGAGGCAAATATGGAGAATAAACAATAGGAAAAGGTGGATGTGAAGCAAGTGAAGGGTTTTGCCTGTAAAAGCACAGGCTTTCTGTTGGTTATTTTCTTTTTAAACTAAAAGCAGACAAATCGAACACAGCAGTTAATATTGTTAATAAAAGCGAAGGCTGAACAGTGCCTTGACTCATGATACATATCTCAAAGAAAAGAGAAATATGTGTGCAGCTTGCAGGTTGGAGGGAATAAACACTTATTTCTTGAATTCTGTCTGCACATAATTCTTGTTTAATGTAACTACCGTCTTCAGAAATAACAGTCTCTTTGGGATTATTCTCTGCTTAAAATGGTAATTGTTGTAAAGAGCTGTAAACTGTGCTGGATCCAACTGCATTTATAATGTAGAGATGGCTGGGTAAGTTTTAAATAA